AACGCATCATCACACGTTCTCAGAGCGTTTAGTTTTGCTCTCCTGCCATGACTTTGTGGTTGTTCATATACATTCACGCACATCTTCAACATGTCCCAAATTTGATGGGCGGAACACGTGTTCTCGAGCCACTCCGACATTGACCTCGACTGACGCTTGTGGACCGCGGACGATGACATGCAGTATGCAACCATCCCACACCTGCAGTGCAACGACTAATCGATACCATACGGCATACCGACGGTGCCAGCAGTGCGCTGCAGAATGATCGCTTAATACATTTCCGTCCTGCACGCCTTTAAGAACATGCCTCGGTAGCCCTTCAAAGTGGGCCATTCGACATTCTCGTCAGGCGAAGAAGGGTTCAATACTCAGCAGGCCCAAAGTTCACCATAATTCAACAAAATTACGTAAGTTGTGCCGTGCATTTGCCGGAGAAAAACCAGGAGAATGGGGATGTAAACGTGTTGATATTTCGGCAACATACCTTTGTCGGAGCAATAGCATAAGTGAATTAACTTCTGCTATTGTTTCGATAAAGGCATCTTGCCGATAAATCAACCCAACCATATCCCCATTCTCCCGGTTTTTTCAAGGACTAAGGCTATTACTATTTTTTTGTATTACTGCTATCTGTGTTGGAGCAACGTGTTGCAAAAATGGCGCAGTAACAAATATTGCAGAAACCAAAGGAAGACCTGCATGGGTAAGTCGTGCAAGATCCTTTTTGCTTGTAACGACGAGCTGGAAAAGATTGACCCTAACATTTAACAAGGGCCATCGTCGCTGATATTTGACGATGCATATGTTTTATGGGGCTCTTAAACAAGCTGCATATTTCAGCGCTCTCGGCTGTTGATTGTTTATGAAAATATACTTTAAAAAACGAATCCCTATAAATCATTGTCATATACCAGATGAAACGAGCACCTCTGAATAAAAAGCGTAAAAACTCAAATTTCACCGCAGTTGGAATGACTGCCGCTACACCTGCCATATTGCATTGTCGCATCGTAATCGCGCCATCTTGCATCCCCTGCGTCGTGGGCGCCTCATATTGTTATGCCCGAAGGTCGCCAGTTCAGTGAATTGAGCACCCACCACTAGACACCGTAAATCTGACTCTAAAAGTTTATACGCCTCCCTATACAGCTCCAACCTGTTTTAATTCCGTAATTATCAATGCTGTGTAAAATTGGCGAAATTCGCGGCTAATGACCTCCATTACTTCAACCCATTTCCGCTCTATACACATATGAACAATTGGCAAAATTCGTACGGCTATCGTAACGGTTGATTGCTTTCATTCACTATAAGTAGACAGCATCCATTAACATGCTCCATGGGTTATAATTAGCGAATTGCCTTTTCATGCTTTGGTGGCATTTCCGGTAACAACACTGGCAGACATTGATATAAGCAGCCTGAATCTGGTGACGTGGACGTGCAATTGCCAAAACACACACACACACACACACACACACACACACACACACACACACACACACACACACACACACACACACACACACACACACACACACACACACACACACACACAAAACGGGAGCGGTTGCTGCGTATTTTTACATAATGCATTCATGGCAACCGTGTGATAACGCGGAAATACCAAACAGGAAGCAAACGCCACTGCAAAAAAAAATCGAGAAGGCAATGGGGCGTTTACTCGAGCACGCGTTGGCTTAATGTGTCAAACATGAACACATTGACGCTTCCTGATATGATTTCTGACCAAACATTGCATGGCAGTGCTTCATAACAAAATGGCCCACACCCACCAGAGACCGGGCGATTACGAGTTAATGACAGGCGTGGATACATTTGGAGGGTCAAGTAATGGATCACAATTTTAGTACGCTTTCATGTGATTGGAGCCTTATCAGCAATGGCAAATTTATTCAGACAGGTTCACTGCCATTCGCACTGATGCACGACGTTTACTGGATGTGGGAAACGGGTAATCAGCCACTTCCCCCACCAATCCTTTACCTGCCGGCACGGTAATGCCACGGCCGCTCAATATTAATTACGTAATGATCCGGGAAGGGTGATACGGTCGGCTGCTCACCTGCCCCGGCTATGCCCCGGGCAAATTAGGCCGACTTTCATCCAGACAACTGCCGCTATCGTTGAGGGCCGAGGCTCCATAATTCCAGACTCCACGGCTCCACAGCCTCCCAGTTTCTCTAAGTTTGATGTCAGAGTTGTGCAGGGTCCCGGGTCCTGGCTCCCTGACGCCGCTCGCTGGGAGAGGCGCGGCCCCGTCCCTAAGGACTCCCTGACGCAGTAGTCAACGCTGGGCATGAGCGTGCTGACACAGACTCCCTCCATTTTCTAGGCTCGGGTTTCCCGACGCTCCAGTCTACACTGGGCACAGGTGCCCTGACACGGTCTGCCCCCCCCCCCCCTGTCGCAGGCTGCGCGACGCTCCAGCCACGCTGACAGTGCCTCCTCCGCTGCTCCAGGTCCGGGCTCGCTGACGCCGCAGTCGGCGCTAGGCGCGACCGTGCTGACGGTGACGCTGGTGGTGGCGCTGCCGCTGGCGTTGACACTGACCGTCAGCCTGGGCCACCTGCTGCACACGCGGCTCGCGAGCTGGGCCGACGGCGCGCGCCACTGTTGGAGCAGGCGGCGGCGTGCCGAGGTTCATCCGCAGCCGCCCGCCGTCTACAGTGTGCAGAGCAACGGCCGACCGGCGATCAACGGCGGCCCCCACCGCGACAAACCCGGGCCGCCACCGCCCAGCGACACGGCCGGTGCCGAGGCCGACACCCAGTACGAGGAGATCGACCCGGACGCGCACGACGTGGTGGTGCGCGCCGGCCGGCCGCCACCGCCGCTGCTGCCGCCGCCGATGCCGGGGGAACGGCGTCCGACAGAGCTGTACAAGCCACGGCTGGCATCGGTGCCCGTGCTGGCCGCGCTGCTGCTGCTGTACGTGCTGGGCGGCAGCCTGGCGCTGGGCGTGACGGGCCAGCTGGGCGCCGCGCAGGCCGTGCTGGCCGCCGCGCTGGCTGTGACCGGCGGCCAGCAGACGGCGGCGCTGGCCGGTACCGCCGCAGCACTATGGCTGCTCTACTCGCTCGGCGGTATCGCGCTGTTCGTCTCGCTGTGCGTGGCCGTGTTCCACTGGGTGCGGTGGGCCAGCGGTTCATAGTCAGCCGGGCAGCAGCGGCAGTGCCCTACACCCCGCGGGGACTAGCCAGCCGGCGCCGGGCGGCAGCGGCAGTGCTCTGCACCCCGCTGGGACGAGCCAGCCGGCGCCGGACAGCAGCGGCAGTACCCTGCACATCGCTGAGACGAGCCAGCCAGCGCCGGGCAGCAGCGGCAGTGCTCTGCACACCGCTGGGACGAGCCAGCCAGCGCCGGGCAGCAGCGGCAGTGCTCTGCACCCCGCTGGGGAGCCAGCCCGCGGCGGACATCTGGTGGGCCGATGCTTGGACGCTAGTCCTATATCCTGGCTGTTGGCGGAGCAAAGGTCAGCTGATGAAGCTTTGGTATACATGTCGAAGACGAACTGTATTTGTACGCGAAACCTTCATTTCCTTTACATGTGCAGATACGCACCATGGCGGTAGAGTCTTCGTGCAACAGCCATCTTAGAGCATACGTGTGGTGCATGCCGAATGAACACATTGACCGCCAGGAGTCGCGGGCCGAATGTTTTTCTACGCATCATTTTGTCGCTGTGTAAATAAACATCTCAGGCATCGGTCACACGCTGCTGTCGACCTGTTTACATACGTGCCCCGGCTGAACTCCGCGACACGCAACATCGGTGGCGGAGGAACGCTCGGAACGTCGGACAGCGGCGTCGCGAATCGCCCCCCTTGCCTATCCGGCCCGCCATTAACATCACCGTGTCAACGGTAACTAGGGGTGATTTTCGAAACCCGGCACACATGCTTCAGTGCACGCGCTGGCGGTGCACCCGAGGCATGAACTTTCGCCTGCTCCCATGACCGCACTGACATGCATTGAGGGACCACTGCTGAGCTCTTCCTCCCGGAAGATTCGTCCGCGACTGCGTGCTACTCGATGCTCGAGACATTACTCAGTCGTCGTGCTGACCCATGACCGGCTTTCAGACTGTTAAGTGTAGTTTGAATGAATGGGGAATATTAATCGCAGTCTGTCCCGCACTGCGTAACCTAGGCATCTTATGCAAACGAAGACGGTTCGTAACACGAAATGTCTCCGAAAAGTGGGAGGCAATCATTTCGATGCCTGTTCTTATAGGATGAATGTCAATTTTATGGGAAGAGCACACCCTGGCGCGAGTCAATGCAGGGCGCCATCTTTATCCGAGGAGCGTTCCCTGGCGTGAGTCAGTGCAGAGCGTTAGCTTTATCCGAGGAGCACACCTTGATGTCAGTCAGTGCAGAGCGCTAACTTTATCCGAGGAGCACACCCTGCCGTTAGTCAGTGAAGAGTGTCATCTTTATCCGCGGAGCACACCGTGATGTCAGTCAGTGAAGAGCGTCATATTTATCCGGGGAGCACACCCTGACGTGAGTCAGTGAAGAGCGTCATCTTTATCCGAGGAGCACATCTTGATGTCAGTCAGTGAAGAGCGCCATCTTTATCCGGAGAGCACACCCTGACGTGAGTCAGTGAAGAGCGTCAATCTTTATCCAAGGAGCACACCTTGATGTCAGTCAGTGAAGAGCGTCATCTTTATCCGGAGAGCACACCCTAACGTGAGTCAGTGCAGAGCGTCATCTTCATTATGGACGCGCGAGTTGGCAGAAGTTGATACTGATCCCACTCGTGACTCCAGCGCTGGTAATTCGGACTTCAGATAGCACCAGCTTCTAGAATTAGTGCGTGCTTAAAGCAAAAGTCATGCCAGACAGGCTAGGCAGTCTGGACATGGTGCATGAACTCATCTATGATGTGTTCGGTTAAATTTTCGCATTTCTGAAATGCCGTAGGTCGGTTCATGTCCTGCTGGCCGAAGCACATGATCAAATACAGAAGATAAGAAGCGGAGTGTATATCAAACACATTAACAATGACACGCATGATCACCGGGCAGACCGTGAGGCTCCACTTTAAAAACAAGACAAAACATCCTTCACAGCCGAACACTTGCGGTCAAAGTACTGGAAGTCATCAGTCTTCCATGCCCATCGACTTGTCAAATTGCCGCTTGGTCATCTGTAACCAAAAACAGACATAATACACCTTACGAGCAAAAGACAATCTAAGTTTCGTACCGAAAATGTTAACTGGACGACAGGAATATATATATAACTGAGTTGAGTTTCCAGATTTTAATACCAAATATCTCACAAGCCCTTCATAGCACATGTCCACACGATAGGCAAAAGAAATGCGTCGATGATGCATACTTGTAATCGGCACTGAACAACCGCCACGAAGACGCCTAACCAACAACGTAAAAGCTAAGAACCGACTGACACAACGTCCAAAATGTGTACGCGTAACATGGCAATACTGGCAAACTGCGCAGCACACAGCACATACACGACCCCTACCCCACATACGCGCACAGTACGCACCTTTCCCTTCTTTAGCTTCTTAAGGGTCCTGGCTTCGCTGGCCATCTCGTCCCAGTCGTCCTGGTCCACCTCTCGCCGCCTCTTCTTCGCCTTCTTCGTCTCCTTGACCTCGCGCCGCTTCTTCTTCTTCAGCTTCTGCTGCTCCTTTTTGGCCTTGGCCTCAGCTCCAGGGCTTGGGCTTGGCCGGCTTGGCTCCGGGCCAGGCCCCCGTCTGCCGGTAAGCGGCCAGCTTGGCCTGGCGCGCCGCCTCGCGCTGCACGTTCCTGCCGGCCGGCGGCACAGACGCCGTGTGACGTCACTGCTGGCGGGTGACGGCGGGTTTGGGGCGGCGGTCAGCGGGCGCGAGCGACCCTATTGACGTCAGGCGCCTCGGCCGCCGGCCGCCGGAATGCCTTGATGGCCCACCGAGCGGACGCCGTCGGCCGGCACACCGGCTTGCTGCGGCGCGCCGGCTGCATTCCCAGACATGCAGTGCTTCCGGCCCGCTCGCTCCCCCTCCGTTCCACCAGCGGCCAGGGTCGAGTGGCGGGGGAGACCCGTTGGGTTTTACAAAAGCCGTCCCGGCTCGACCCGGTCCAATTTCCGGAGCCGGAGCGGGGTGTAATTGGACGCGGGAGGCGTGCGCGTGTCATATAGACGCGGGATTCGGCTGGCATGATTCCCAATCCGCCCAGACCGGACACAATTACAGCTCAGCGCTGGTCACACATATTGGACCGGAGCCACGAGAGGGCGCACGGCGTGGCAGGTGAGCAGCCAGCGGCGCTATCCACTGGTGAGGGCCACTGCCGGCTCCGACATTATCATCCACCGACGGCTCGGGCGGCTTCCTCGCATCTGAGGGTCTGCAGAGGCTGGGACCACGTGTTACGACTGAACTGGCGATTCGAGAAACACGCTATAGGCGTATCTACAGGCTCTACTGTCCGCAACGCAACTCTCATTCAGGTCACAGCATGTCACTCATGCTTCCCACGACTCCCTATCATCCAAAACGTCCAATTTTCATCCCAAAATGTTAAGAGGTTCATCCGGATTATTCCACGATATTTCATGACCCGGATCTTTAATGACCTGTAATTTCTTATCAACTTGTCGGCGGCATCGGTACAAAGAAAGGCTCAGTAATCTTACTTTGGGTAATTTTCAAGAGAGCCGGTTATGACCTCGCCCTGGTCTTCTCAGTTGGGCCACACAATACGCTCATCCCGGAACTCGTACCCAGTGTCCAGGGGCGTAGCGTCTCATTCAGTTGGAGGAAGCGCCCCCCCCCCCCTACCGCACGCACGACGCACGCACGACGCACGCACGTACGCACGCACGCACGCACGCGCGCAAGCATACGCACACCCACATCCACACGCTGAGAACAATCTGGGCTAAATCCACGAAGAATCCGTTTTCCGCGCATTCTGGGTTTAGGTTTAGCCACATTTCCCCGCTGTCCCCGCCCCCCCCCCCCCCCACCCCACCCCCACCACACACACTTATTTTGTGCAACTACGTCCTTGTCAGTGCCGCTGGATGGCGAGTCCAGCGTCTTTCTGTTGGATAAAAGAGACGGCAAACATACCGCCTGATCTATTATTGGCTGTTCATGCCACAGTCGCGACAGTTTTAGCCAGAAGCCACCATCTCACCCAAAACTTACCGACAAAACGTAACAGAATTGAAAAGGAAACAAGATAGCTGCCCCGAATTAAGGGACCTGTTCTGAGGGAAACGATGCCTAGCAAAAAACAAGACACTGGCCAGCCTTTACGATCTATAGCGTATGAATCAGGAGCCGGCTTCTTAATTCACGCATTATTTATACACATCCCACCCGGACCATTCATTTCCAGTGCACAGTCCCCCATGACGGCCCGTGGAGCCATACGCACAGAGTGCAGGCGCACCAGACACTGGTATCACCTGATACCAGCAGCAGGACATCAAAACTGCCTACACGACAATATCGGCGTTGGCGCAGGCACATTCCATGCAGTTACATTCACGGCACCGTGCCCGTCGTACACACGCACACAAGCATGGCGTCCGCATCCCTACTTACCCATACGGTATGGCGTTAAGGTCCACATCCGCAGGGGTGAAGTCCGTCACTGTCTTCCCCTTGAGCTCCGGCATCCTGGGCATCTGCAGCAGGCCCATGGCCGTGGCCAGCTGGCCTAGCGGCAGCTCTGGAGGTGACACGGAGTCCAGTCACAGGACAGCCCCAGGCACGCACGCGTTCGGGAGAAGTGGCCCCGACAGGCGATCTGTACCGCCGGCAACAGACGGTCGTTTCGCGCGCGGTGCCGACACCTCTTGTGTGCGCAAAACAGCGCCTTAAAACAGGGCACTGCGCTAAGTGAACATGATGAGATGCATTGAGGTGATAAATAACGCGATATAGCGCTGATTTTGACGTTTGGTTGTTTGGATAAGAGCATTTCGACCAGAAATGATCATTGGGAAGGGGGGGGGGGGCAACCGCCGAGCTTTAACCCGAGCATTTCGCTGGGTAACCAGTCGCGGTTCCCCTTACCACGGGGCTCTCGGCCCACAGGCGGGTATCGCGAGAACGAAGCAAGGCAGAGGATAAGAGGGACGGTGTATAATTTTTGACGTTATGCATACCGAACATGAGGGGTAACACCTCGCAAAGTCAGCCGGACGATGGCAGACAGCGCAGACGTGCTCTCTAACGTGAGCAGTCTCACCTTTCAGCTGGAATATGAGGCGGCACTCGTGCTTGGCGTACGCCTGCACGAGGGACACGAAGGCCCGTGTGGCGCGGTCGTAGTTGGCCCGGTCGGCCGTCTGCAGTCGGCGCAGCTCATCGGTGAACTGGGGCGGCTCCGGTGGCGCCGCCATCTCCGCCAGCGCCACCTGCCGCCCGCAGCGGACAGTGCCACATTGCCACGCTGACGTGATACGTAGGAAAGGCATCGTTGTTTTTCTCGCGTTCGGAGTTAGAAAAGCCCGCTTCCACACGGATGACACAACAATATCGCCGAACAGCGCCGAGCGAACAGAAGCAACTGAGCACCCTCGCCACTATTCATTCTCAAAACATCTAAGCACGACTGCAGCGTATCCACAGCATCTTCCTCGGCCCGACCCCGCCCCGGTCACCAGCCTGTCCGCGTGCCAGCCGCGGACCAGCCCGCCCACCTTCTGGTTGAGCTGCAGGAACTGGACGTAGGTGATCTCGGCGGGCAGCAGGAGGACGAGCGCGGCGCCCTCCCGGCCGATCCGCGCCGTCCGGCCGCACCGGTGCACGAATGCCGCGGCGGCCGACGGCGGGTCGTACTGCACCACCAGCTGCACGTCCGGGATGTCCACGCCGCGTGCCATCACGTCCGTGCACAGCAGCACACCTGCCCCGCACACGACGCAGCACGTCGTGAACGTCGGACGCCTGACATCGGCGCACAGCACAGACGCCTGACATCGGCGCACAGCACAGACGCCTGACATCGGTGCACAACAGCAAGCTCTCGGTGTAAGATACCTGACATCGACGCACGGCAGCACGCTCTCGGCGTCAGACACCTGACATCAGCGCACAGCAGCACCCTCTCGGCGTCAAACACCTGACATCAGCGCACAGAAGCACGCTCTCGGCGTCAGACATCTGACATCGACACACAGCAGCACGCTCTCGGCGTCAGACGCCTGACATCGGCACACAGCAGCACGCTCTTGACATGAGACACCTGACATCAGCGCACAGCAGCACGCTTTCGGTGTCAGACGCCTGACACCGGCGCACATCAGCATCAATGTCACTTTGCTAGTTTTGCTCCGATGCAAGGCAGAGAGATGCTTTCATTGTAGGGCAACTCCATTCGATCTGTCATCAATTGCGCAACAGCACGTTTTTGGTATTGCTCTGCGAAACAACTCATAAAATCGGGCGTGCCGGGCGACACTCAGTCGAATGAGCCTTACTGAACAAAACGTGACGCAATTAGAACTGTTCTTTTCTCTACTGAGACTAGACACCTAGTACTTCGCAACAACATCCGGTCCCTATCAGGTACAGTCAGCGCTTCTTCATGTATTCAAAATTTACATATATATATATATATATATATATATATATATATATATATTATCTTCATATCATATACTTTTTATTATCTATATTATTCATGTCTTCACATTCACATAAGAGCTGAGCCGAAACCAACAGCATTTAAAAGGCAAACACGGTGCACAAAAACTGGCGGACGAAATTCGGCCGATAAAAAATCTTATCTCCATGAAAATGGTAACTACACCAGAAAAACGCATGACAGTGTACTAAGGAAAATTTTAATTAAACCCATATATGATGTACACAAAGCAAGGTCTTACCTGACTCCATTTTTCGGAACTTGTCGAATATTTTGAAGCGCTTGCTCTTCATTTTTCCATGAATGCTTAAAACATTAGGACACTTGACTAGCCTGCAAAGAGACCCGCATAATGCGTAAGATAAGCACAAAAAACCGACTATCATAATCACAGGATAGTGCATTACCGCAGATCGAAGCACCAGGACCAGACATTCGAACAAAATACAATGCTCCCAGTATCCTGCCGGTCAATCGAATCAAAGGGAACAAGGATGAAAATCTAATATTTCGTAGCGGACGTTCGTACAGCGAATCTGTTGACAGGCCTTAATTTATTCCTTGTTTTAGTAATTGCACTGAAAGTAACGGACGTTCAAATAGCAACGAGGCACCGGCTAAACAAAGCTATAAAACCACCGAGACCATCGAAATCTTTCCGTTTACGCATCGGTGTTTTGAGCACGTCACAGCAAATTGTCGTGCATTTTGCGTATCAGGTGTTACGATGTCGCAGCTTGAATAATTGCTGCTTTCGATTCTTTTTATTGCCGGAGCATCCACAGATTCGGAACCTTTTTCATTCTCCGCATGTTCTTCGTCTTCCACACGCCTCACTTTTTGGCTCATAGCAAGATATGTAGTTACCTGATACAAGACATCTACCACTTCCAAGGACGTCCAGTTCTTACAAAGTGCAGTGACGGCTTCCCCACATATAGGCGAAAACGGACCAAAAGCGTTCAAATAATTAAACACGGTGCACAACAACTGACAAAATTAGATATCTATGTAGCATTATATTATGTTTGAGCCGAAATGTCATACAACACCTTATTCATTTGTGATCATGGGCACTGCTGGAAACGCTAAGCATTTCCATAAAAATTCCAACGATTGTTTGATCTCACCGCTTAATCAGTGTGGCTCGGTATCCTGAAGGCCAAATCTCCTCAGCAATACATTGCGGTACATATCTCTCGGCGATACCTTGCAGTGCCAAAGACCAGCGCCTTTTTGGTTTGCATAAACGCCAGGGGCAACTTTGATGACATTAAGATGATACCCATAATGATGATACCTGATCATATACCCATGAAGCCTAGCAATCGTGAAGCATTATCAGCCAGCGTCACGATTTTTTCAAGCAAAGGTTCAACCAGTTTAATCAGTTGCTGACAAAACTCGGGACCACAGCCCGTTCATACCACTCACTCTTTGATGACCACCGTAAGATATTCCACCATGGCACAGGTAGAGAAGAACACCATAACCTTCTCCTTTGAAGCCACCTTCTCACGCAGCATCTCAATCAGGGTGCCGAGTTTGTGCTTCGCTTCACAGATCATGTAGAAGTTCTCCAGCTGGTGTGGTGTTCTCGAAACTCCTAAAACAAAACAAATAAAAACAATCATGCCATGCAAACACATACGTAACTCGTACATATTTTGCGACAGAACAAATCAGAACCCATGACGATCAACGTAGGCCAAGCGGGAAACCACGGGTCCAACCCGGACTACCCTCCGGTTTTCGCATGGGGCACGACTGGCTAAGACTGTGTACGTTGGGGCTCGATCTCTGCGAACAAACGTCACATTGAGGCCAAACTACAACCATGTAATGAGATGCACGGCTCATGCTCCCTTGGCTGCCCAGAAGTACCGGGAGTACCACAATTAAATTTCATAACACAACAATCATAATTAACTGCACCATTGCCGAGAGTTGTACAGTTATTTGGCCACGCGGCTAACGTCTAGTTCAATCACATCCACCATTGGCTACCAGAATCCCAGTCATCCCTAAGACAGACGCCAGCGAACAAGTCGATATAAGTCCGGACTTTCTTCAGGAAGGCCCATTCCAACGTCCTCGACACCGTTACGTCACGGTGCGCACGGCATTTGGCGGACCACTGCAATGACCATATAACCGAAGAAAACGCGCATTTCATCACAAGGTGATGCGTTTCCACGATCCCGCATGTTGATCATGGCTACCGAACGTGTACGGTATTAACACATCGCCAGGTATTTGAGCGAGAATTGGGTCTACAGATGCCACTCGAATCAGTCTTAGTTGCTTCAGACATGCGGGTTTTAAAAATGACGCCAGGTAAACAAGTACGGATGTAAACATACGAAATTAAAAGATATCATGCTATCACTTAAAAGGAAAACCGTTACTGATTTTTGCCCCTAAGGCGAAAGCGCAATAAAACTAGTGAGACATACAATTGACTAATGCTCTACTTCAGCTCTACACGCCACAGATGCGGCCAATTTGATTCCCGCAATGCGGAAAAGGTCGAATTTGCCAGACTATTATGACATTTTTGCAAAGCAATGCAGCATAGCGCTCTCGAAAAGCAGATTTTCCCAATCCTGTCATACACTGCCCTGACTTAATGTTCTGCATGTTTCCAGGCCTCCACCACAGATATTTCCTTCTCAGGCATGCCCGCCTGCATCACGGCAGCCACCTATTTCCGTCGTCACTGCTTGGTTTAACGAGTCGCACCAGTCCTGAGCCGTGAGCCTGAGCCTCCTCCCCCCAGCCCCCCAGCCCCTAACGTGACTATTGCTACGGCAGTCCCGTGAGCCCTAGATTATCTGCTGTGACGTCATAATTTGGTCATCACTCAGGCCTGAAAATATGCCAAATACATGACCTAATAGTATGACTGCTCAGAAACATACAACAAAAACGAGAAACTCAATTAATACACGTCAAAATTCCACATAACAACCAGAGCCAACGACAGGTCTGTCATTCCGTTAGAGACAGAACGCCAAACGGCTCTAAGGTTTCCGACACTTCCATCAATGTCCGAAGCGTGCAAAGCGTCCATATTTCGGCGGCCGGTACCTTGCTTCTCGCGGACGGTACCTTGTTTCTCGCGGCCGGTACCTTGCTCCTCGCGGACGGTACCTTGCTTCTCGCGGACGGTGATGGCCACGGGGTTGCGCAGGCCGGCGCGGACCAGCTTCTGCACCTCGTCCGTCTGCGTGGCCGAGAAGAGACCCGTGCGCCGCTGGCGTGGCAGCCGATTCAGGATGTCATTCAGCTGCCGCTCGAAGCCCAGGTCCAGGAGCCGGTCGGCCTCGTCCAGCACCAACACCTCCTGCAGCGCGGGGAGCCACACGCTAGCCGGCGCCCGTACCCTGCCGCCCTTAGACCTGCGACCTCTCTGGACAGCAGCACGGCACGACAGTCAGCGGACTTAGCACCAGTACCTCGCGCACCGTTCGGAGAACAGTATAGCACGACGGTGAGTACCAGCACAACCTACACCACATGCCAACAGCATAGCACTGTAGTAAGCACCAGCACCTCCTGCATCCCACGGAGGTCCATACGCTCGCCAGCATTAGCGTCTCCCGTACCGCACAGCCAGCAGCACGGCTCGGCGCCACGGTCAGTTACACACAGCGCAGTGTCAAGACCTCTATCTGGCGCACATAAACAAATCAATGCTTCTGCAGTCAAGGGCAATGACTTATGGTTACCCCCATACCTTTCCAGCTACCCATAACGTCGAGCCCGACTATTTGTACACCAGCTACGCACCAGGCATCTGAGCGCTGCCTGCAGCCTCGCGCCCGACTCGCGCCGCTCAAGAAGATCGTGAAACCGGCCCGGGGTGGCCACGATAATGTTGCTGCCCTCTTCACTCAGCTTCTGAACATCCGTGGCCGGATTTGTCCCACCAATGAACAGCTGCCTAGAGAACTGAGGCAGCTCTAGCAGGAAAACGTCCAACACTTCACAGATCTGGGTGGCCAGTTCTCGAGTGGGAGATATGATGACTGCATACACATCATGCTTCCGAACTGCCATACACTTGCTCTGCAACATAAAGACCTGCATTAGGCAATGTGTCCAGATATCCAATATCCATACATGAACATATAAATAAATGTACACCACAAATTAGGAATTGGATGTGTGACAACTCAACATGCCATTGATACAAATGGAAAAATAAGTATAAAAGCAGTGTTGTTCAAAATCATGCCCTAACTTGAACCACAAGGAGAGAAATATGCCTCTAAGGTGCTGAACAGAGAATTTCCCCCAACTCACATTCACATGACTTGCAACACAAGTTTACAACTTGTATACCTGTATAACCTATTTCCACCCAAAACATAATATAGTTTCTCTGTATAGTGCAAATGCTTCACTCACCAGTAGGATTTCCAGTAGAGGCACTAAGAATGCTACAGTTTTTCCACTTCCAGTCACAGCTTCAACAGCAACATCCTTGTAGTTCATGAACTGAGGAATGCATGCTGCCTGTGGAAGTTCTGAGGATTAGCCAGCATTTGGAGATACCCAAGTGTAGTGAGTTCCCTGCAAGGCCTGCCTTTCCTGATGGGTGAGGCTATCATATAGCCTCAGCAGCCCAGCTTGTCATAATAGCTCCAATGACACACTGACCAAGATTTTCCAGTATGTGCCTTGTCAACTTCAATCAGGCTTTAATCAGGCTCAGAAACAGAAAAAGTGACATTTGGCACATCTTAGGATTCAAGTATGCCTTTACCTTTGAAGATAAAGACTCCCCTTGTTTAAAACAGTGCCTAAAGCATCTAAAAAACCTTAAAATCTCTAGAAATGTTTACTCTACAGTGCCTGGCTTTCCTGATAAGGTGAGGGACAGGTGCTTCTTTATACCTTCAGCAAATTGATTGTCATGAAAATTTGGATCACACTGCCCAGCATTTGCTCATACATGCATTTCTAAATGGGTGTCAGTATCTCATCACTAGTGTCTCAACATGGGGCTACACAGCTAACATAATTATTCCTTCAATGTTGCAGCAGAAATGACCTGTGTGGCTTGGTAAGAAAGAAAATCACTGACCTATGACCACCAAACATCAGCATGCAGATGACGTCAAACCCAACCACTAAGTCAATCACTGTAATGCTAGAAATGCAAGGTTATCATATTGTAAACAACAAACAAAATTTTAATTGAGAACGGAGGAGACCTGAGTACTTCTGGTAGTCATTTTATGCTTCACCTCTGCTGATTTAGTCAGCCAAAACATTTGCAGTCACATACCTGCACTGGTGTCATTAACTCGTACTCAAAACGCTTCAGAACAGCTCTCATCACTGGTTGCGACAACTTGAGATCCTTCCATGCCCGGCTCATCGACATCTTTCCACACCTATCAAAGTATATGAAAATAATGGATGAAACGAATCCCAAGCTTCCGATCCAAATATTCCAAAAATAAACGCGAACTCCTCAGACCCTAACGCGCGTACAGGTGCACAAGCGTGCTAAGCGACGCATGTAACGTGACCGTGACCGCTTTGCACATCTGTTTGACTTTGTAGCGCCGTAATGACTGTCTTACATTACTAAAGGAATTACTACTAGTGGGTGCAATGCAAAATGTGAATAAGAATGTAAATTTGACCACTAAATATCCAAAAAAGTGCAAAAAGAATTCAACAGAACTCAAATCGTTCCTCGAAAGTTTTAAGCTGAAAAGCTTCAGTAAACTAACGTTTAAGGGGTGTGAAATTTAGGCAGCCAACTACCCTGTTAAATGCAACCGGGTTCACCACAATAATGCACGGGTGTGCCACCGGGTCACCACAAGCTGAGGGTATCTGGCGTAGTTAGCAGGGAGGGAGTGGTGTGTCGCGTCGTCCTGGGGCTGCCCAACGAATTGTGTAGGGTTATATCACAGCATGTGTCTTAAGCGAACCCCGTGTTACTCGTCTGTGTTATTCTTAATATTCAAAAATTTGTAAACTGACAGAGAGAGAGTAAACTGAGATTCGTTACCATTCAATGCACAATGCAAATTTATGAGTGCATCAGAGATGAGAGATTGCCTTCTTCCCTGTCCCTCTGTGTCTTTGCCATTGGTCAGCTCCATTGTCCTACTAGTAAAATGTTCAGACTGACCATATGCAGATCAGTACTATACCACAATGTGAATATGGTTGGGCTATTTGTTGTATTATAAGTAAGACCTACAGAACACTGTTGGTTGCCATTTATCTTGCATTTGTTTAGGGGTTCATGTAGCAGTATTCAATGTTCTAGCAGCTTGTTTTCAAGTTATGACTGTTTTGTAATGTACATTGCCTTTTTTGCAGCAGTTATTTGAGTAAATATTGAAGACAAAAGCAGGCATGGAAGGGACACTCAGCAAGTGGACAAATGTGATGAAAGGCTGGCAAATTCGCTGGTTTGTCTTGGATGAGCGAGCTGGACTGTTTTCCTACTATACAGTAAGTTCCTTACTGGAAGCTGTGTATCCAAGGAGTTTGTGAATAACACCATATCATTGTTAAGAGTTTCAATGGCCAGGTAGTGCATCCTTAACATTTTTCAATGTTTTCATCAATTCAGAATTATTATTGCTAATAACCTGTGTGGATGTTCTATCAGCCCAAGATGACATTCACTAATAACGTTGATAAATTTTACCTGGGTGAAGCACATTGTGTCATACGATCACTGTGCATGTGTCAAAATTGATGCTTTCAGACAAATGATTTCCATGGCAGTGTATATCCAAATGCTGATTACTTCTTGCCCAGGCAATGCATGTGATATGACCCACCATCCTCTGCCTGTCCACAGTCCAAAGAGAAGATGATGCGAAACACGAGGCGTGGCTGTGTGCGTCTGAAGGGCGCCATCATCGGCATCGACGACGAGGACGAGACCCTGTTCACCATCACCGTCGATGGCAAAACGTTCCACCTGCAGGCGCGCGACGGTGACGAGCGCGACTGCTGGATCCGCGCGCTCGAGAATGCCATCTCCCTGCTCACGCACAACAGTCACCGCATCAAGGTGGGCGGCCGAGCGACGGCGGTGCGGTGCGTCGGCGCCGGCGGTGCGGTGCGTCGGCGCCGGCGGCCGCCGCCCCGCTCACGTTGCGGGCGGACGTCGGAGCGGAACGAGGACGGAAAAGAGATCGTGTGTGGTGTGGGCACCCCTTTTTGGCTGAGAATCTACGGTTGGCCCACAAACCACGGTTGTGCCGTACCCTCTATGTGCTGAAATGGTCTCTGCACTTTCTGGTGCTCCTTAAAAGGCTGCTCAACAACCATGTGTGGATCCCCAATCTCCCCTGGGGCAGAGTCATTTTTTTATTGAAGTTTGCTTACTTATTTTCTTCTGCCTGAAGGAGTATTGTAAGAGAAAATGCTGTTAGCTAAGACATTCTTGATTTGCAGAACCTTGCCATTTGTATTCAACTTTGATGATCAGGGGGGGGGGGGGGGGGGGCTGGCTGCTCCTCCTGGATATGCACGTGGCGACGACATGCGTCGTATTTCCTTCTAGGTCTTCTTGATCCTTTTCTTGATCTCCTTGATCTTGATCTTCGAGAAGAATAATTTCACTGCCGTGAAACCTAAATTTACATTTCGTCGCTCTTGTGCGGGCCAGCAGCCACTGTTTTATCTCATGCCGGCGTGTCCCAATCTCTGGTGCCCCCGGGTCACGTTCGCTCAGCATACTCTATATGTTCTTCAACGAGAGCATTATCAACCACGTTGGCTACAAAGTTTTTGCAGTACTTGAAAAATGACAAGATGCTGTTACGCGTGGATCGTTGCTTTCGGAAAATGTCGAAGCATGAACGGGAAAAGCGGTGAGACACGCGCAACTCTGACATTAGTTTCTTTTCAACATATTGCCATTGCAGTATTCTCGGTGCAGCAGATTTGCCGCGCCAAATTATCGTAGCGCTCTCCATCCATGTATGGATGTGCTGTATGGGCTTGGCCATTATGCCTAGCATTTGTTTAATGTTTTTATTGTTTCAAATGGTGCCGTTATTTTGAATTTTTTACTTCTAAGTCATGTGTTCTAGCAACCCAGTTGTAGCCTGACTGAAGTGCTCGTCGGGTCGTCATTGTCCCCACTGACCAGACACACTCATCCTGCTGTTTGAGGTGGATAAAAGCGCAGTTATCGCGTTAGGAAGTTTGTTTGCAAGGACCTTCGCAAAGCCATCTGCAAGGCGTCTGCAACTGTTATCTGGTACCCAGAATAAACATAGCCCAGTGATTGAGAGGGCCTCTCCCAAGCGGATCTATCTCCGGCGGCACCTCTCGTGGTCTCAGGGTGCGAAGACAGGTTGACATCGGCCCCTTTTTTCGCAGACACACGCCAGAATCTGACACAGGCAGCAACCTTACCCGGCACATAAAACGCGTGTTAGAATCAACACTGACAGCCGGAGGGATCTGTTCTCCATAAATGGGAAGGTGATTTAACAGATAAGGACGGCAAGAGCGTTTCGGAAAGATCGTCAGAGAGACTTCTGAGAACGCTGTCGTGCCTTGCGTGACTTTGTGTACGCGATATCCAAGAAACGCTAGCCCGACGTAACTAACCGAGATTAACCGAACAATTGTGAACCTGGTTGGTGGACAGATAGAGTTTTGGACTGGGTCTCGCTTTCGCTTACTGACCGCTTTGAACGCGACGGTACATCCTGCCTTATCCCATGTCCCAAGAGCTGTGGCGCGCACACTCTGTGCTACACTTGCCTGCCTGCCCGTGGCAAATGAGGTATACACCTGTTGAGGAAGGAAAGCGGGTGCATTTCAAAAGCTACTTCGTTGTTAATTCTCGCCGGCTACAAGGTGCCTCATACCGCCAGTCAGGCTAGTGATCGGCGACCTCCACCTGTACAATGGGCCGATGACAGCGGACGTCTTCGGTGGGCGGAAGTGTCACGGACCATTGCTGGTGACGGTACGGGCGTTATATGACGGCGCAGTCGAAGCGCCCGAAAACCCCAACTTACTACTAATCACAGTGATGCCATCGATTCGAGCTGCTTTTGAGCTGTGTTTGACCAGAGCTGTCGTACTTAAGGAGCGGAATCAGCGGGCCTGTTACGACATCACCACAATTGCTTGCATCAACGACGTCTCATTTCGGAGCTGGATGGAGTCCTTTGTTGAGAATTTGCTCTGAATGAAATTACTAGACCACACATGCAGCGTCATGACAAAAAAGCTTCGGCTGACATATTGGTGAAGCCGATGGTGGTTGTTTTTAGTATCGCTTTAACGCCTTTAGAAGTGACCTAGTGAATCACCAACAACCTGTGAGTGTCGGCTGTTAGGCTTTTTTGTGCGTCATCATAATCTTGTGTTTAATGCCTCATATTTGCGTTCATATCGACATCCAACCATTTTAACACGTTTGACAATAATATGCGGGTACACTTGCCGTGCGAGTGCGGTGCTTACTTGCGACACTGCATTAAAATTTCCAGTTATGACGCCAAATGTCTGGTGGGCCATGCGACGAACGGGAAGGTACTTGCTAGTGTTCATAAAGTGTGCCGTAAGTCCTGTAAATGGGTTGTGCGAGTCATGTATTGGGTCACGTTGTTGCACCCAAGGAGCACAAATGCCATTGGTTTACTTTCGATGTTCAGTACCGCGGGTGCAATTTATACTTCAACCTCCTCCACATCCCCTCCAAGGACTGAAATGGTCCCCACGAAATCTGCGTCAAATGCGTATTGTACTCAGCATTGCAGTTACCCCATGTCTTAAGTCTCCTCGTGTCGGTGCGTTTACCGTGGGCCTGGTTTTTGCTGGATGTTCTGAGAGCTCCCTGGGGTTTTAGCGTGTTAACGACAGACCGTCTCGCAAGGTTCTCAAAAGAATTCTCGAGGTCTTAGCTAACGATTTACGATTAATGGCTGCGGTGTCTCCTTGGTGTCAGGAGGCGGGTGATGGAAGACAAGCTGCCAGGTCGACTGTGCAACCATTGTGCACCATACTGATAGTGTTTGTCAACAGAGCGAAAAGGAACATTCATCAAATTTCAAACCTCCCCAAACAGCGCAGCGGCTGCGGCCGACAAACCTTGGGCATTCAAGGACCCGCCGAACAGGGGTGGGCGTGAGGCGCATATGCTGCATAACATTTGGTGATGCAACATGCATGATGATTGAATAGCTACGGTGTTTGAAAGCTTCCTCTTTTTTGGATTACGTGTTTTTTGACGGCAGAGATCGATTGCCGGATCTAGTTTTGAAGTGGTGTCAGTTGCTCCCAATTGGAGCTCAGATGGTGGTCGCCGAACTTGTTACTGTTGTTCGTATGTTCAGCACACAGGCTGCGCATACGTCCGAGGACCCGACCGATGACCGTCATCATCCCACCACAGCTCCGTCACACAGGCTGCGCATGGGCCCGAGGGTTCCGGCCGATGAGTGTCATCATCCCACCACAGCTCCGTCATACAGGCTGCACATGGGCCCGAGGGTGTTCGGCCGATGACTGTCATCATCCCACCACAGCTCCGTCACACAGGCTGCGCATGGGTCCGAGGACCCCGACCGATGACTGTCATCATCCCACCACAGCTCCGTCACACAGGCTGCGCATGGGCCCGAGGGTGTTCGGCCGATGACTGTCATCATCCCACCACAGCTCCGTCACACAGGCTGCGCATGGGCCCGAGGGCCTCGATCGATGATGGTCATCATCCCACCACAGCTCCGTCACACAGGCTGTGCATGGGCCCGAGGGCCTCGACCGATGACGGCCATCGTCCCGCCACAGCTCCGCCATACTCAGCACACAGGGTGCGCGTGGGCCCGAGGGCCCTGACCGATGACCGTCATCATCCTACCACTTTCCATCGTACCCTGTCACACCGTGTCGGAAGGGCCAGATGGCGGCGGCCTCAGTGCTGCGCGCCTGCGTCTGGCCGCCGGTGTTTGCGCGCGCCAGCCGCCGCCGTTGTGAGCGTGCTGAGGCCGCTTCAGCGCTGGGACCCGCACTAGCCGCCGTCGTTCTGAGCGCGCTGGGGCCGTTTCAGCGCTGGGACCCGCACTAGCCGCCGTCGTTCTGAGCATGCTGGGGCCGTCTCAGCGCTGGGACCCGCACCAGCCGCCGCCGTTCTGAGCGTGCTGGGGCCGTTTCAGCGCTGGGACCCGCACCAGCCGCTGCCCACCATGGCCGACTTCGACCGGCAGCTGGTGGAGAGCGACGCCTACCTGCAGCTGATGATTCAGCAGGCGCAGGCGCTGGAGTTGCGCCAGGCGGCCAGCACGTCAGCCGCCGAGCGGGACCGGCTGGCCGCGCTCCGCGACAACGTCAACGTAAGCCGGCCGCGCGGTGCTGTGCAGCCGCCAACTGCGCTGTGTGTGTGTGTGTGTGCGTGCGTGCGTGCGTGCGTGCGTGCGTGCGTGCGTGCGTGCGTGCGTGCGTGCGTGCGTGCGTGCGTGCGTGCGTGCGTGTGCGTTTCTATGTGCGTACGCACGTAGGTATGTACATGCGTACGCGCGCTTGCGCGCGCTGGTGTGTGGAGAGGCCATGCCGGGGGTTCTCACGTACTGTCACCACCTCTTTCGCGGCTTACGGTTGCTGGCATCATCAGCGTTGTTGGTAGTTTTGCCAAACGAGAAGTTATTAAGCGTGGTGATGATGTAGTCGATGCATTGTCCGCCGGCTATCATTTTGGGAACTTTAACGTAGACGAATGCATGCTTGAATACGCTTCTGCATCGCGGGGCAGCACGGAGCTATTATCACAGGTGCGTTCACTCAGGCTGATGGGAAATCGAACAGCTGCCGTCGATTTTCCGCCCTGCTATCATTTACGTGTTGATGGCTGCAGACGTGAACAGTTGGGCTAGATCGTATCTAGAGCAGAGCTGCAGTGTCTGCAGTTTTAGTAAGCTTTAGTCGGACCTATGTATAGTTTACAGGATTTTATTAGCTTTGCTTGGATGCTCTGACCCAGCATTTTTTATTGTTGCAGGCTATGTTGGACGCGATCAAACACACCATCGTCCGACTGCAGATAGCCAAGGTGAGTCGCCTCGTTCGTGTCAGCGGAGGCACCGTGGACCGGTGTGGTTGTGGCTCGCTGGGTTACCGTGCCCGGTGGCCTGCGCTTCCTGTCGTGGGGCATGGCGATGGCCCTCACCATCCCAAATTACCGGCCACGATCAATACTACACGCCGGGATCGTGGGGACCGCCGGCGTTTGCCGTGCTGTGTCGTGCTCGGCGTGTGGCGGCGGACACGGCGTGCCGTGTGGTGTCGGCTGGTCCCCCCCCCCCCAAATTCCCAATCCCAAATTCCCAAATTACCACCATCCCAAATTTCCGGCCACGATCAATACTACACGCCGGGATCGTGGGGCCCGCCGGCGTGTGCTGTGCTGTGTCGTGCTCGGCGTGTGGCGGCGGACACGGCGTGCCGTGTGGTGTCGGCTGGTCCCCCCCCCCCCCCCCTCCGGGACCGGCAGTCAGCCCGGCGACTGCCTGGTGTACGGGCGTCGGGAGGGAGTCGATCGACCGCCCATAATATCGAGCCCGACGCACGTGCCGCGCCCGGCCCGTTGGGCCGCACTGCCTCAGTCGGCGCGCCGCCCTTTCAGAACGAGGTGCAGCCGGTGGTGGGCGTGTACCAGCCGTGCAACGCGCCGCCCGAGCCACGCCCGGCAGCCGCCGATGCCGTTCGCCGCACCATCCGGGAAGGTGAGCGCACTTGCGGGCTGGGGGACCGGCGAAGTCGCACGCGGCCGCTCTCCGGTGGAGCGACGTGATGCGTCGGACGGCCGGGCTGCGTGCGGGGCGGCGCTTCATTGTCGTGTCGGACACAGCTGAACAAATGGGAGAACGTTTACCCCCGCAGCAGCTTCACCTGATGTCGTTAATTTTGCTGCAGCTGTTGGAACAAGAGGATGCTAGGCGGATTACCAAGCGTGCTTTTCGGTCAGTTTTCTAGCATTTGTGGCTTGAAGAGACGAATCATAAAGCTTATCAGTCGCAGCCAATCGTCGAGGTAAAGTTGTGCCCCGTGATGCTCGATTCGTCTGTTCAGTCCGACACCATCTCATCGCTCAGGTCAGCCCATGGACCACTATGTCGCATCTCATCACCAGAGATGTGTGCAGTCCCATTTACGGGCGGCGCGCCGCACCGTTTTCATGTTGTCCTTAACACCTGTGCCGTTCTTACGGTCCGCTTATGCCGGCAGGCTGGCAACCACAGTGTTGCTAGCTGCCGCAGTTTATCTGGCCCATGGTAGCTGACTGCTCATGTGTGTGCCGGCGTCTTTGCCACTCACCACATGCACATAAACACCATACGCTATGCGCATGATTAGCCACAGACTCGCTCTGCGATGCCCTGGCGTCGCCGCCGTCTGCCAGTCGGCTCTCGTGGCTCGTCTGGCGCCTGCGGCCTGTGCGTGCCGGGCTGACGCCGCGCGTGCGGGGGTGCGTGCCGCAGCGGACGAGAACGCCCCGGGCCCGCTGCGCGACGCCGAGGTCAAGACGGGCGTCGAGTTCGGCGCTGAGGTGCGCGAGGACGAGCAGTCGGGCGCGCGCTCCGACCAGCTGGGCGGTACGTGACACGTACAGCCGGGCGTAAGTCCCGGTCAGTTGAACCGCGCGCGCGGCCGGACCGGACGGCGGCCGGTGTCAGCCGCCAGCGGCGCCCTCGGGATCTGTGTCGGAATGGACATGTTGGAAGTGTGAGGTGGGGGCTTTTGTAGACAGATCTGGGCGTTAGTCCGGAGGTCCGTTGCACGTGTGCATAGGTTGGTTTGAGCGAGCTTTTTTCGTGCGATATGGCTGAGGCTGCTAACTCACGTGTTCCGTTGGGGTCTGGTTTCAATGTCAAACGCAGAGTTGGTTAGCTCTGCATCTCTCGTGTCTTTCTATTTATGTTTGACAACATTTCACTGCAATTTACACATTTTCCAGGACATTGCGACAGTTTGTTTTAGTACGTGTAACCAAACACTGCCCATTTCTCCTGTGCGATTGCATGTATTGTCAAGCGTTCCAAAGGATCAAGCCGTGCCATTCATCTCCGTGGTGTATTTCTGTGACGACGCTGTGACGACGGCGGGCAGAGAGCTTAGTGCGCTGTGGCGAGGCAGTTGAAGCACGATGTTATGAGGTGGTGGACTCCAGCAACTAATAATTTGTTTGAAAATGTTGCCCAAAGTTTCCGTTAACTGCGTCTCCATCACCAACCACTCACTCTGATCGGCGCGGTGAGCATAATTTAGCACCGTTGCCATGGTTACCCGAACACCTGTCTATGGCTGATCGCTATGGACAGGGCTCGGCCATTCGCGGTTATTTTGTGCCGATGCTAGCCAATTAGTCCCGTGCGGAACGACTGTACTCTGTACTCTGACTGTACTCCCAGTACTGTCCGTCTACTCCTGTCATGACCATCTGTCTCTGTGCTGCTGAACTTCCCATGTGCCCGCCGGCCGCCCATGTTTTGACGGGCTGCCTGTGTCCCGACTAACGACACCTGTGCAGACTGCCAACCCCCCCCCCCCCCCGTGCCCGCCGTCCGCCCCTCTTCACCGGGTGCCCCCGTGCTGACTGGCTACCTGTGTGTTTGGCAGAGCCGGCCATCGGTCGTTTCGTGCAGGAGGTGCCGGAGACATCGTACTCCAGCTCCGAGGACGAGGACTGGTTCGACACGGAGGACGCTGCTTCCAGGTGAGTTCCCGGCCCGTATGGAGGACGCTGCTGGCCGTGGCGGCGGCAGAAGAGGGGGAGGGGGAGCACCTGCCGGCCTGGGGGTCGTGCCAGCATCGTTCATTGTCACAGACCATGGTTGTACGATTGCGTGGCATTCCAGTCTTTTTGTGTTTTTTGTTTCGTGCTCAAGGTTCTGTGTCTGGTACGCTAGAGACTAGGCAAGGTTACGTGACAGTTATTTTGCACGACTGCCTTTTCACTAAACCACGATCCTGCGCCGGGTATATTACCATCAGAGGCGGTTTGTGTCGTGGCTGCCCAACGGTACCTTTTTACACGCCAACGGCTTTCTTTATGCTGCTGCTTAAATACCGTTGCCATTTACCATTTACCATTTATCGACCTGCTACGTTTTTACACCAAAATGCTGAAGTGCTATTTCACTGGGTACCATGTTGGCGTGGAAGTCCGCCTTATACGGCAATTAGGAGCAGCTCAGTAGGAACGAGTCTAGAGTAGATAGAGTAGAATGCCTCCACGGGCGGATTTACTATGACCAGGTTATATCATCCCCATTTGTCCATGGAACGTAGGAATAGGGAAGCTGTTTGTAACGACTTAATGTTGTGAAGTTGCCCCCCATTTTCAAATTTATATTACTACTTTTTTTTGCTTTCAACAGCCCGTACTTCACGCCTCGCTCACGACCATTTTCTGCACTAGCGGACTGGTTCCCACCACTGGGGTAGTTCCGACCAGGGTAGCTCAGAATGTTGGAGGCCCAGAGGCTCAGAGGCTGCACTAGGTAGTGCACAGAACGGTCAGTAAACACCGGGGCACTCGGTTTTGGGGAATTGCCGCCCTGGCAGGCCACCATTTGTATACGGCACACCGATTTACTAGCTCGGGACAATGGCAACTATGCCGCCTTAGTACCAAGCGTCGTGTAATGGAAGCGTTCACTCGGGCAATCACCGCACACCGTTGCGCTCACTGCGGTCTGGGCCCCGACATCGATTACTGGGACTCGATGCCCGGCTGGGCTCAGCGACGACCATGGTTGCGTATCAACTCATCCGGACATCCAAGTCCGATCATCTGCTGCGCTGCGCAGCCATAGCGCTCACACACGCGCACATCCTGATACGGAGCCACCGACCGGGCATATGTATGGAGACTGCGCTGCTCCCGGGCTGGTGCAAACACACATTGTTGCTCGGTTATGTAGCTCGGCTCCCAAACATCCAGGTTAAACGTCGGTGGTCTAGAACGCGTTGGTCGGTGACATCACATACATTGGGGTTTGGCGGACCCCCACAGGCTGCCCAGCTCTGTCCACGGCCGCTGTCGCTGGGCTCTCAGTCACCAGCAGGCGCCCCAGTGTCTCCACAGCCCTGACCGCCGCCGCTGCCCTCAGCCACCAGCAGGCGCCCCAGGGTTTCCCCGGCCCTGCCCATGACCGCTGTCGCTGTGCCTTCATTCACCAGCAGGCACCCCTGTGTCTCCCCAGTCCTGCCCATGCCCGCTGTCGCTGTGCCTTCATTCACCAGCAGGCACCCCTGTGTCTCCCCAGTCCTGCCCATGGCCGCTATCGCTGTGCCCTCAGTCACCAGCGGGCACCCCTGTATCTCCCCAGCCCTGCCCATGGCCGCTGTCACTGTGCCCTCAATCACCAGCGGGCACCCCTGTGTCTCCCCAGTCCTACCCATGGCCGCTGTCGTTGTGCCCTCAGTCACCAGCAGGCGCCGTCGCCGGTGAGATCCCGGCCGCCGCCGCCGCCGCCGGCGCCCGGCTCCGGGGCCGGGCCGAGCGACGCCGGCGGCGGCGCGGCCGTCTCCAGCGCCGACTATGATGCCGCCTACGAGGAGGAGGAGGACGACCTCGGCTCGATGGAGGGCCACGGCTCGGTGGTCAGCCACCTGCTGTCGCAGCTCCGCATCGGCATGGACCTGACGCGCGTCGTGCTGCCCACCTTCATCCTGGAGCGGCGCTCACTGCTGGAGATGTACGCCGACTTCTTCGCGCACCCCGACCTCTTCACCAGGTGCGTGCGCTCGTCGGCCGCGCGGCCACAGTTAATACGGAGGCCGTACGCCGTCAGGTGTGGCCCAACGGGATTAACTGCCCGCGCCCCCCATCGAAGCCGTACGCCGCTGGGTGATGTCGAAAGGGATTGTCTACGATGCTACACGTTTCAAAATGATACATGTCAGAGAGCTTCGATAAAGGATTCAGGGCCGAGTTGTTTGGAAAATAGCATGCCGAGGTGTGAATGTTGCAAGTGAGCGTCGCGCCGTAATAGTTCCCGGGTGTCGCAGCATCCCGGACTGTCCGACGCCCCGTGACCGGCTGGTTCAGGTGCTCAAATGGTACCTGTCGGCCTTCCACGCCGGACGAAAATCCGAGGTCGCCAAAAAGCCGTACAACCCCATCATCGGCGAGACGTTCAGGTGCGTGCCAAAGCCTGGGACAGCCAGGTGCCTGCGCTCGTGTGTGTGCGCGCGCGTGTGTGCGTGTCGGTGTGTACGTGCTTGTGATTGAGGGCTTGATGCGTCTGATTTCGATTCCGGGGGTGTTAAAGTATGCGTTGTTGTTTCTAGCCGACGCGTCGTTCTGCTTCCCCTCGGGCTGCCTACGCTTGCGGTTAACGGTGCCCATGAGCGGTGAGACTGGCGCGAAATGACGTTCAGGGCTGGACCGTAGGCGCGGGTCGGCGGGCTGCTTGCGTGTGTGGCGGCTCGCGCAGGGTTGGTGAAAACAGACGCCACGCGATCAACCGAGCCGTGTTTTCGGAACTGTCCGGGGACGACCGTGTGCAGCGCAGGAGGCGTGTTCAGGCGGTCTCGCGTGCCGCCTCGTCTCACGACCTGCTGAGCGTACGGATCGATCAGGAAGGGCACGCGGTGTGGTTAGCTGGTCGCACCGTCTGCTGAGGGCGCGAGACGCCCCAAGTGGCGTCGGCTGCTTGTGTCGGTGGTCACTGGGCGCGACCACCGGCGTCGTGCCTGCTGGCCTGCTGCGACCCGGGTCGGCCCGCTGGGTGCCTCCTGACCGCCCTCGCCTGCGCCCTCGCAGGTGCGTGTTCGACATTCCCGGCCAGCCGGCGTCGGAGACGGACTCACTGGTGCCGGACGGTCCCGTGCCCTGGGGCAGCGAGCACCAGGTGTGCTTCGTGGCCGAGCAGGTGTCTCACCATCCGCCAGGTGAGCGCGCCCCGCCGAGTGGCCGTCCGGCCGGCCGGCTGGCCGACTCCGTCGCCCACTGTCTGCTGCTGAATCCGGCCTGTGCGCTGCCCTAGCGCACCGTGAGTTACACTTCCCACTGTCGTACAGCTCACGAGCCCGGCTGTGCGCTGCCCTAGCTGGTCATGAATGACGCTGTATACTGCGGCACCGGCTCCCGAGCCCGGCTTTGCACTGCCCTAGCGGACCGTGAATTACACTACACTGCCGAACCCGGATGCGTGCTGCCCTAGCGGACTTTGAATTACACTGCCCACTGCCCTATAGCTCACGAACCCCACACATTGCTCTGTGTCTATATCAGTAACAAACGTCTCTGACTCGTGGAACAACAAGCACGCTGTTTGCTGGTTCTGTCGTCCAAGCGTTTCGTATCTTGCCATCTGCCCGGTCTGCGAGCTAAAGTGATTTCGCAAGTTGAGATCGAACAAACGCTTCACACTGCGGTCCATTTGGGCAATCGTCTTATTGAGCCCCATTTACTTGTCTAGTCGCTGCGTTTCGCATGCGGCGTTAGCCGAAGCGGCATGCCGATGCTGACTCCATGCTGACTCCACGCCAACTGTCCTTCCATAATGGTTAAAACCATAAAGACAAATGGCGCTCTCTGCGCCAGTTCAGTTTGTTTTTTGTAGATGCGCATTCTGTGTGAGCAAGAAGCCCCATTTCACATGGTCAAGAGCATTGCCCTCTTCTGGACAACGACGTTTGCTGTGTCTACCGCACTCTATGCTGACTATCACGTGTATTGTTCAGGTTAACACTGGTTGACTGTGTACACGCCGCGCTCCTACAGTGTCAGCCTTCTACGCCGAGCACTACGGCCGGCGCGTGTCGTTCTGCGGCCACATCTGGACCAAGTCCAAGTTCCTGGGCCTCAGTATCGGCGTGCACAACATCGGCCAGGGCTGTGTCTCCCTGCTCGACCTGGACGAGGAGTACCTCCTGTCATTCCCCAGCGGATACGGCAGGTACGCGCTCTTTGGAGCAGCGCGAGAACTGCGACCAGCTCGTGAGGCCTGAGCGTCTATGAGAGCCAACTTTCCACATTATGATCTGCGACGCGTCCGTCTCTGAATCACGAGAACGTGACGATTCACTGTTTTCTCGCTCCCCAGCTGATACGGCTGATAAAGCGTGCGCCTTGAACCGTCCGCTTCGCAAGGACCCGTGGGACTCGGGAGGTTACGATTCGCCGCCGATGCCCGACGGTACCTTCCTGTTCTTTTCCCTGCGCTCCGCTGGACCGGAGTGGTGTAAGGCTGTCGCGAGAGGGCCACAGGCACCTTCCGCACCCCGTCGTGCCCATATCCGGCCCCTTCCAGCAGCGCCGCCCTGTCCGCGCCAATCTCCTGTCTCTCCCAGCAGCGCCGCCCTGTCCGCGCCAATATCCTGTCCCTCCTAGCAGCGCGGCCTTGTCTGTGCCGATCACCTGTCCCTCCCAGCAGCGCGGTCCTTTCCGTGTCAATCGTCTGTCCCTCCCAGCAGTGCGGCCATGTCGGTGCCGGTAGGTCGATCCTGGGCGTGCCGTGGGTGGAGCTGGGCGGCGCCGTTACCATCTCCTGCAGTAAGACCGGCTACTTCGCTAACGTCGAATTTCTCACCAAGCCGTTCTACGGCGGCAAGAAGCACCGCATCGTGGCTGAGGCGTTCGAGCCGGGCGCCAAGAAGCCGTTCCTGCGTGTGGAGGGCGCCTGGAACGGCGTCATGCAGATCAAACAGGACGCAGGCGTGAGTGTCGACGTCGCTCCTCTTCTCTCCCCCGCGCTGCCTCTCTTCTCCCTGCGCCACCCCTGCTCTCCCTCACATCGCCTCTCTCTCTCTCTCTCTCTCTCTCTCTCTCTCTCTCTCTCTCTCTCTCTCTCTCTCTCTCTCTCTCTCTCTCTCTCTCTCTCTCTCTCTCTCTCTCACGCACGCACGCACGCACGCACGCACGCACGCACGCACGCACGCACGCACGCACGCGCACGCGCACGCACACGCAACGCACACGCACACGCACACGCACACGCACACGCACACGCACACGCACACGCACACACACACACGCACACACACACACACACACACACACACACACACACACACACACACACACACACACACACACACACACACACAGTCTCTTCTCTCCCCGCGCACCACCTCCGCTCTCCCTCATACCGCCTCCCCTCTTTCCCACACTGCCTCTTCCCTCCTCCACACTGTGCCATCCCTCCCTGACATCATCCCTCACACTGCCCCTCCCCCTTAAACGCCCCTCTTTACCCCATTGCGTCATTTCTCTCCCCACACTCCCCCTTCACTCCCCCACAGCGTATTATCTCCCATAGTACCTCTTCTATCCCTTATGCTAACCTTGTGCTGGGCTGGGCTGTGAGTCATTACCGGGATAATTTTGTACGACAGGTTGTGTTCGCTTCCTAGAATGAAATGCGCCGTGCCAGAGCCATGCTTCATTGCCTGCGGAGGACTTACTTGTTTTCATTTAGGATTTACGACGCACCCAGCAGCTGGGGCTATCTGTCGCCGCATGCCTCTATTCCTGACATGAAACACGGGCAGCGCGGGAAATCGAACCCCGTATTTCTGGTTTCCCCGGCGCGTAGTGGAAACACCGCGCACCCCAACCCCGAGAAGTGCTTCTTTAACACGGTTTGGCGTGTGGACGTCGTCTGGTAAGACTTCTGGCCCCACGCGAGCGGGGGAGGAGGGACGAACCGTCACCCATACCGCCGCCATCAGATAACAGGTTGTTTGCTTCGCCTCGTCCCAGGAGCCGACGACTTTTGTGAACACGCACACGGCGCCGCTGGTGAACAAGCAGGTGAAGCCGATCGCCGAGCAGGCCGAGTACGAGTCGCGCCGGCTCTGGAAGGACGTCACCTACAACCTCAAGTAGGCGCTGCTCGCTTATGTCACCTTCAGCCAGGCTCACCAGATGGCACCGTGACCACCCCACCTGCATTGGGGACGTCTGCAAATCCAGATATGGGACATCTCGATGTACGATATCTCAGCTTCCCCGTCAATATTTCCATCGTCATGTTGGGTGGAGTCCGAGCGCATGGGCGCAACCACTGGGCTCGTTGTGGTCACGATCCCAACAACATGTGGGCGGATTAGACTACTTTTGTTCTGACCCCGTACAAGTGAGACCAAAACAGAGGTGGACCACCCTTACTATCACAGGCGTGGTTCATGTCCGTGCTCAAACGACCGTTTTGGGTGTGCGGGTCACGTGCATCCCGATAAAAATTCGCTGCCGCCGTGATCGTTTACTTCATGTTGCTTGTTGTTTGGGCCAGACAGCCTTGTCGGTGGCTACTGTGGCATGTTTCACAGTTTTGGTACACTGACCCAACTGTTTCAAATTTGAAATTTGGTTCTAAGACAGCACCCGAGCAGGAATGATTTCTATTCTTAATTTCTACTGCGTGCTGAATTTTCACCCCAAATTCCGTGCGCACAAGGAAACCATTATGCGTACATGTCAAATGGTGATAGCTGCTGATTTTGTACTTCAGTTGTCCTGCGTTTTTATGTATTTTCCACTGCCGTCGTATTTTCTTTGTCTGGAGCATACCACTCGAGTGTCCTGACATAAATCAAATACTGGCGCGCTGATTGTGAATGGGGAGGGCGTGTTGGGACAACACTGGCTGTGCCAGGACCATAGTTCTCTCCGGGGGCGAGGGTGAGCCACGCCCCGGCCGCGGCCGCGCCCGCCGCCAGCGGCCCGGACTGACGCCGGGCTCGTCTCGGGGGCGAGGGTGAGCCACGCCCCGGCCGCGGCCGACCCGCTGCCAGCGGCCGACTGACACCGCGAGGGGGAGCCAGCCCCGCCAACGGCCCTGACGGGCCAGCGGATTGACACCGGGCTCGCCTTCGGGGACGAGGGTGAGCCACGCCCGGCCGCGGCTGCGCCCGCCGCCAGCGGCCCGGACTGACGCCAGGGCTCGCCTCTCCGCAGGCACGGCAACATCGACGCCGCCACCGATGCCAAGTGTTTCCTCGAGCAGCGCCAGAGAGACGAGGCCAAGCAGAGGAAGGCTGCCGCTCTCCAGTGGGAGACCAAGGTGTGGAGCCAGCGCCGCGCCGCGTTCCGTCCGGCACATCGCGGCGAGCTTCCGCTCCCCTCTCGGCCCGGGACCCGACCGCAGTGGTGTCGCTGCCTTGGAATGTCGATGGTCGTTAATGGCCTCAGACGTGGCGGTGACGTGCCTCGTCGCGCGGTGTGTCGACTGACAGTACCGCGCTCGCTCCGGCCTGGCAGAGCGGGCTGTCGATGGAGTGCGTCCCCCGTTCTGACACCGTCTCTCGTCGCTCTCCCTAACCGTGCTGAACGGCCCGCGCCCTGTCCTGACCGTCCCCGATCGCCTTCCGCAGCTGTTCCACAAGTTCGATGAGAACTGGATCTACGACAGTCCGCTGCAGCGGCGGCTTGGCACCGCCGCCGGCGCCGGCGGCAGCGGCGGCGGCGGCGGCGGCGGCGGCGGGGTCGGGTCGGCATGAGACCGGCAGCGCCGGGCCGCCGCCGCCGGCCCGGCGCGCGGCTCGCCCGGCGCGCGGCCGCGACGTCATCTCCGCTGACCTGACCCGAGGTGACCGGACTGGTGGGCCTCACGGCGGAGACTAGTGCCAGGTCGGCGTCGGTCCCCGGTGGCGGAGCCGGCACTCTGCGATCGTCGGCGTCTGAGACCCGGTCTTCCGTGCGCCATGCCATCCCGGAGCGTACCGCCGCGGCCTGGGCGCTGCGTAGAAATGGTTTCCCCTCTCACCCATGGGCGCTTCTTGGCCGCATTCCAGTGATCGTTCTCCCCTTTGGACTCTGACTTTACTTCTGGGCGCCATCTCTAAGTTGACTACCTCTGTCGCGTGCCCAGACGCCGGTATTCTAGTGTGTCCCCCCCCCCCCCCCAAGTGCCCTGGGACGGCCCAATCGTCTGACGAGCCGGAGCCGGTGCGGCGATCTTCATTCTCTCGCCGTCTCGACCTTGCGGCGATCTCAGCTCGGATTGGAGCGACGCGAGCGGCCGAAGCGCCATCTGGGAGTCGCATGAACCCGGCCGCATTGTGCGTTGGTGGCTAGTGTCGGTGTGCGGTAACGGATTGACTGGTGCTGCCCCAGCCGGCACAGTGGCAGGGCCGGGCGGCTGTTGCCGCACACCGTTACCGCACAGGGCCGGGCGGTGTGCGGTAACAGTGGCAGAGTGGCCGGGCGGCTGGTCGGTCGGCAGTCGGAGCCGGGTGTACATGAGAACAGCGTGCGTGTGTGTGGGGGGGGGGGAGGGGGGGGGGCTCGGTTCAGCCTGTGCTCTGGGAGCACCCGAGGCCATGCCCGGCCCATCCGGGGCGGCCGTCGTCCCGAGCCGACGCCGCCGTCCCTCCGCGGTAGGGCACGTTAAAAGGCTCACTCGGCACTAGGACGGGTCTACGCATTTAGACGCACTTTATTCATAACTGACCTTGTTCGTGGGGGGGGGGGGGGCGAAAGCGCGCGGGGTCAGCTCGCGACCGACAGTTATCTGACCTCGCGCGCGGTACTCGACGTGTAGCCGGTCGCAGTCGGACGTGTAGCCGGCCGCAGTCTGACGTGTCAGCCGACCCTACTGTGGAACGGCGCGCTCACGTGGCCATTCTGCCCGCGCCCCGGGTTAGATCCGGTCTGCCCGCGCCCCGGGCGACAGTGGGACACCCGTTTAGTGCGAATGATGTCACCGGTGATGTCGCGGATGACGTCAGCGGCGATGCCGCATGCTATGCATCCCTGACCAGTTAGCGTGTACCCTGATGCTCGGTAGCGCTTTACGTGTTGTTTTGTGGGTTTCGTTTAGGAATGTGATCGTGTGAGTGTGACATGTCTACGCCAAGAAGGTACCGCGACGCACATAAGGTACACTTGATAGTTCATAGCTTCGTGGACAACAACTCACCATGTCCGTGTCGTGCGTGCGTCTGTGACACACCTGATCCGGGTGTGCCGGTGGACATTAAGTAGGGAGCTACTTCTCGGTGTTCCTTGAATGCTTGCAGTTAATCGGTATTTCCTGTGATATACAAATACGATATATAGGTGTCAGGGTTTTGTGTTTCCTTTGAACATGTTTATGATGCCAACTGGCATCTGGCGTGCTGGCCCGTGTTGGGCGTGGTCGGTCACAGGGTGCAGGAGAAGCTGGCAGTCTTCACGTGTGTCCCCCTTGGCCAGTTGTCTTCAGCAGGTGACGTCTCGAGAGCCGGTGGTGCGCCTCTGGGCGCGCCGTGTACAGGAAGAGCGCGGCGGCCGTGACTTTCCGAAAATATAAATGGCGACTTGCCGGACTTGCTTACCGTGACTGACTGGTGCTGACTGACCTTTGGCTTACTTTTGACCTTTTATTTAGTCTGACATACGTGAACATGGCGCACTCCGTGCATGGTTTGTGCGCGCACTCCGGACGACCGTGCCATAATTAGGCCCAGTTCGGGGCCCTACTGTCGGCGTCAAACCAGTTTCACGTCGTTTTCTGGTAAAGACGTCGAAGTTTGGTGTGGATGGCGTGGGATATGAAAAGTAAGCAGCGGACACTGCGATTACTGATTACAAATCCGGTCAAACGCGGACACCAAAACTAGTTCTCATGGGCCGCAATGCCAGGCGCTCGGCTAGACCTGAAGTTAGATTTAGATTACCATTATAAGTATGCATGGGCAACGCAGGCGCAGTCCTCACACAGAGTGCAGCGGTCCGTATCAGCTGAATCTAACAAGCAAACCACACCATATTTTTTTTCGCTTATGCGCCAGACTACTGATTGCCCTCATACCTTCATATTGTGCTGTCCTATATCATGCCATTAAATCATCTCTCCTTCACATCTGTCACACAGTTCCCACAGACGGGCGCGGCCCCTACCAGTCGGATGACGAATGATGACTGAAAGTTGTATGTTGCAGGAATAGGGTTATCGATCACTTTGCATGATCTCTGATGCGAATATGACATGAGGCCGGACGCCAACGAGCGTGACCGGATAGAACTAGGTCAGCAGAGACAGGGCCGGGCGGGACCCGACGGGAAAGATCAAACGAGGCGAGACCGGGTGGAAAAGTCCGTCCCGTTGGCTCAGTTGTTTAGAGCGCCTGCATTCCGATACACCCACCCGTGGCAGGGTGGGTCGAGTCGCTTCAGGGCTCGCGCTATTTGCCCTTGAAAGGTATGATCTGCAGCCGATGGCAGCAAGCCATGCCTGCGTGTGTGCATGTCGTCGCGTTAAAGTTCATTGACGTCAGAGGGCAGGAAGGACCGTGACGGGCATTGCGGCACGTCAAGCTTTCGCCATTAAATTCTGCTGTTGCCTGGAATTGCGCGATCGGATGGTGGGGGTCAGGGCTCACACAACAAGCACTGCTTAGCGTGAGCGCTGATCCCAGAAATTCATCCAAAGGGTTCGGGTCAAATTCATAAAAAAGACGAGACCGTATGAACAAGACGAGACCGGGTGGACCGCATGGATTCAGACAGGACCAGACGGGATCAGACATACCCAGGCGGGATTACACGGGATCCAAGGGCACCATACATGACTGAGAAGAAGCGGATGGGACGGGACATTCAAAATGGGATCAGGCGGAACCGGATAGAACGTGATGGTGCCAGACAGGACCGAATGAGATAGGACTAAATGCTATTGGAACGGAACGGATAGGAACGAAAGGGGACTGGACCAAACCAGATGGGACAAAACGACCGGGCGGGAGCGGACATGATCAAACGGCACTGAATAGGTCGAAAGGAACTGGGTGGGACAGAATGGAATGACAAAGGCTTCGGCCGAACCGGACTGGGTCAGACAGAACCAGATGCACGTCATGAATGGAGACGGAACCGGACGAGAACAGACTAAATAAGAGGAAACCGGGCAGGATGAGACCAGACCAGACCGGATGGACCCGTGAAGGGACCTGATCGGACTGCGCAGGACCAGGCGGAACCGGATCGAGCTTGCCGTCGGTAGGTCCACTGTTCGGCGCTCTGGGCCCCTGATCAACACATGGCCCCTCCTTTTGTTCAGGCATCCCAAACAATAAGAATCGCGGGCCGGCCTTGTTCCTCCCCGGGAAATGGGCCCCCTGGCCTGATACCGACTCGGAGCTAACTGTTGGGTGTTGGTAGCCTCTGGCTAAGCCTGAGGCCCGCATTGTTCCACAGTATTTCAATCGATGCGAGGGTTCATCTTACTGACATTTGAAGTCACGACCCTGTGGACTGGCATCTGCATGCTATTTATGCAGCCAGCTCTTCGGGTTCTCTAGCTTTTCAATCGGGGCTTTGATCGTTGGCCTGTAGGGTATATTTGGACTCTCTTTGGACCCCTCGGAACACTGTTCTGGTGGACTCGGAGCCCCTTGTCAACATAGGGATCCCTTGTTGCGCACTCTGGACTCCTGATCCACCCGGTGGCCTTCATTGGCTCAGTGACCCAACAAATGTAAATTACGGGCCCCGGCCGTGTGCTGTTCGGCACTGATTCTGCGTGACCGACATAGGGGACCTCATCTACCCTGAGGGTCCTTGGTGAACGAAAAGGGCCCCGGGCTGGTATCTGAGGGTTCGGAACTTTGAGGCGGGCCGGGAGGAAGGGCACGTGCCTTTGTTCCCTCCTTGCTGCATGCATCGCTGCCCAGACAACAGTGTAGAGGTCTCGGAGTGAATGCAAGAGATCAATGGCAACGTGGAATGCTCCTTACCAATCGGAATAATACAGTAAGCGGTCATAAAGGCTACCTACGAAGAGCGGCCCCTGGACAGCGTGATGAGTTGTAAAATCCCCCCCCCCCCCCCCCCCACTACCCTCTAAATCACGGAGGAATTATTTTTGTCTGCTCATAGACTCTTCACCTTCGCTTGCAGCTGCTCCTCGTCGCCTGGAGATCTAAATGTGTCGAATTTGTTACGTGTGCTAAAAACTGCTTCTGTTCTGGCGGCTGTGGGCCCCTTTGAAGCCTTTGGCTCCCCTGGAGTCACAAAAAGCGCCATGACGCCTTGGCTTCCTCTCTAGATTCTTCACTAGACATATGCGGCCCCAAAGGAAATTGTCGAGTTTGGCTGCGCTGGCTGGAAGTGCTAGCGAACTTCACAATCAGCTGACAACTGCACCGACGATTCGTGTGCCCGGTCGTGGGGCTATGTAAGTGGCGCTCGTGGGGGAGAACGGCAATTTTTGCGTGACATAGGACATAGAGCTATATTAAGGTATGAGAGGAATTCACTAACGTCTGGCGCATGTGCTGATAGCAGTACGGTACGGTTTGCTTACTATATGTAGCTGATGTCGGGCTGAGTGCGAGGCCTGCGTCGGCGTTACAAGGGTGGCTGGAATGGTTGAACTTGCATGGATAGTACTTCAAGAAATATAACATTGATGGGTTTTCCATCTGTCCATTGTGCACATGTTTTCGATCACATTTCTGAGGTTTTCAAAACCTTGGGTAACAACTTGGCCTGTATGCCGAATCGAAGGCAATATTGCTGCATGAATGTTGGGAACATGGATAAGCTTTGGTGCTTGCCCAAAACTTGCCTTTTTGTGTGCAAGAATGAGAGAAAAGCGTGGTTTGATATAATTCTCAATGTACAGTCCTGACAAACTGCAGCACTGAAATATTTCTACATTCAAACTTTGTGCTCAGCCATTGCTGTTTGATGGCGTACTTTGGAGGTAATAGGGTTATCTATAAGCATGAGATTAAAATGCTGCTATTATTAGCATACCAATCTGGTTTGTGTGTGCCTGCCATAGGCCTGTGCAAGGCCAAAGCTTTGCATATTTTAAACAATATCAAAATATAATTTGTGATGTAAATAATGTTACTGAATGAGCTACAAGAACTGGTGGTGCTGTTTATTTATTAATTCAGTAACTTTTTCATTTGTTTGCTTCTTTTATGTTGCATATTCTATCCTGTTGCCTTTTGACCAGTTTGCCATCCTGGTAGGCAGACTTTGTGTAGTTTTGAAGGTTCAACCATTGAGTGGGCCAAAGCCTGTTGTGTTTAATTGTGTGCCATGTTTTATCTAGTTTGCAAACTATAATTTCACAGAGTATGGCATGTATGAATATGATAGAGAACTATGAATTTGACCAAGTATTTAGGGAACTGGAATGTTTTGAGTGACAGCATGGTGTACTGCAGTAAGAAACAAATGTGTATTTAATTCAGAAACTTTTGAAATTGTAAAAAATGACAAATTGATTCTCATTTTCATTATTTATAATTTACCTATCACATTATTTATTGTTACCTAACTAGTGTTAAATGCCTCTAACTATTTGTCATGCTCCAGGTAGCCCTGTATCTTTGCCACTCTTGTCCTTGGCTGTCTTTTTGTGGATGCCGGTCTGGCCTGGACGATGCTGTGCTGGTATATAGATATGTCTTGGTGTCTTGGTGGCAGGCTGCCCCTGTGAAGTGAGACACAGTGCTTCTTGCTTGGGGAAAACAATGAGCAGTTAACCACCCTTGCAGGCTGCTGCCTCCATTCTAACACCTTCCTATTGTCAGCATTTTTCATTCAGTCAGTTTTTTTGTATTTCTGCTCATGTTTCATCATCATCATTATCTTAACATCTTTCAGATGCACTCCAACCCCTGGGGCTATTTGGCTTTGCCCACCTCTCACCCTGGCAGGAAGGAAGGGCACTGCTGGGCATTAAACCCAGTACCTCTGATTTCCTGGTGTGGGTTTTCCTTGTGTGTTTCTGGTTTTTTTTTTGCAATTTTACAACATTGATTAAGGCATTCTGTTTCAAGGCACTCAGGTGCTGAGGCTATGTTGCATCATCTGCCTCTCACATTACCAGGGGTGGCAGGCACCAATGTTGTTGCCTACCCTTTAGTTCTGAACTTAAGTTCTGAATTGTTATAACAACTTCAGTTTGTTGACCAGTTGATTGCTCATTTCTCCCAGATCAAGATATTAGACATGCTTGGGAAGATAACATTGCCAAGAACTACCAGTGTCAGCCTGAATGACAGGTGAGTCAGAGCTAGTGAATGCTAACAGATGGTGTGCAATGAGTGAAACAGTGAACCTTTGGAGGTGTGAGAAATGCATTTTTAAAGTTGATGTTTTAATGGCACTGTGTACCAGCACATCCTGTGGTGGTGACCTGCCAGGTGCACATTATGGTACAGAGTTTTAGAAAACCATCACATGTGGAGTGAGGCTAATGTGAGCTCCCTCACATAGTGAGGCCACATGAGTTTTCAGTGCATGTTCTTGTCGATTGTCGCTGGTCTGTTTTTCAGATGATGCATTGTGGAGGTAAATTGCTGTGGAAACCACTATCTTGTTATCAGAATTTGGAAATAATAAAGTAGCATGTTTTATAGTGTTTTTATGTACATGTTTTATGTACATGTATTGCACCTTGTATGATCTTTGCACATCAAATCCCAGCATAATAAATGCACTGGAACTCTGTTAACTGTCAGTGAGCATTCCTTCTCCTGGATGATTGTCAACACTTTGCCTGACTTGGTCTTGAGGAACCTTAACACCAATAGGGGTGTTCCTCAGCTGCTTTAACTCATGATGTGCATGAACTCCTGATCTCGATGCTTAAAACTTTTTGTTACACATGATGTGACCTTGACATTGACTGATTGTGACAACATCACATGTTTTTGCAATTGTCATTATATCACCACTGAAAATATTCAGGGCCATCAAACCCTGGGCTGTGTGACAATATAGAGGAGTCTCCTACCAGAAAAGGAATCAAAGTGTTCATATTTGGAAGTCCAAACAAGCCTATGAACCAAAAAATAATGAAGGTGTATGTGGACTTGAAGTTTGATGGCAAAATTTTTGTACAGGATGTTTTCCAAGGATCGCTGCTTCCCGGCGCACATCGTACTACACACACACTGGAATCATTCAATGGTCTACAAATTGTTCAGGGATAACATGGCTGATGAATCAGGCAACCTCATGGTGCGCCTGTTTTTGGTGATGCGCTGACAACGGGTGCACTTGTGGTATTGCGATTTCGTCAGCGGCCGGTTTTAGCAGTTTATAGCTCCGACGGCACCGCCAATGTCGTAAAACCAGAGCGTCATGGAATGCGCGATTCATTCTTCATGCCAAATGAGCTTTATTGAAGTCTGGTGACCAGCAAGACTTATTTCGTAGAAGGAACATTTTATGGCAGTTTCGGATTATGGCGCGGTGCGGCAATTGTCCACCTGCCGGTGTCGTAAGCCCTCGGGCTTCGCGTTGAGCCGCCTCATCATGCATAGGATCTGTAAAACTGCCTAATGGGAGTGGATTTGGATGCTATGGTGACCCGTAACACACCAGCGAGGGAACTGTTGTACTGTCATTTGCTGACTGGTGACATCATTAGGCCGCTTGACCTCACATATAATGAGAGGTTTATGGAGCTGTGATCTATCATCCGTCGCCTGTCAATGGAGGGAGCCCTCAGGCACTGGGGGATCCGTGACCTGTCAGTGATTGCCAAGACCTGTCAGTCTTGACCGTCTGGAGCCGACCGACAACTCGGATTGATGGAGCGTCCTGCGGCCGGCCCAGGTTCTCGACGCTCCGCCAGCTGCGCGAGAACCAGCAGCAGGAGGAGCGGCTGCACCAGCACGCCAGTTCACAAGCCAGCCGACATCAGCAGCAGGAGGTGCGGCTGCGCCAGCACACCAGCTCACAGGCCAACCGGCACCTGGCTGAAGAGATGGAGCAGCGGCCGGCCGTCCGTGCCGGCTTGATTCACCCACAGCGCGTGGTGAGTGCTCTCGCGGCCTCGGCTGACGCCGCACCTTGGTACGCCGGTTGTCGCGTTCGAGTGTTAACGCGAAGTCAACTCAATGTAGCATTACCATTTCCTTTTGGTCTAATTTACAAAGCTTTTTCACGACATGGACTTAGGCCAGGATTTTAAGGGCAACTGAAAACACATCAGACGGAACTAGATAAGTCAGATGAAGTGTTAATATGAAGTGAGATAGTTATCTGGGATAGGTATCAATAAGATTCTAAGGATAGTACGCACATTGTCAAAACGGCACTTCAAAGCTGTCCCGTCTACAAGCTATAGTGGTTGACAGTGGGTCCATTTTCTTTGCTCTGATGTATATATGAAAAATGCTGTCCATGTACTAATTTCTCCTTTGTAGTTATGTCCTGCAATGGTGGTAACATTCCAGTTTCAATCGCAGAAAGGATGTCCGGCAATTGTGATATTTCTGCGATTGCAACTGGAACGTCAAAGATCCCTTATTCAGTACCGATAAAGGTTGTCCCGTTGGCATCCAAGGCGAAGGCTGATTGATGGTTAGGACCATGTGGGTCTGGGATGAATCTGAGGTCGGGGAAACAGGGACAAAGATGGGCAACTTCTTAAAATCATCCGTTAATAGTTCACTGTAGGTAAACCGGGCCTTCGATCTTGCCCACCTCTCAATGTCTTTCCGTGTTTTGTGGTCTGACACGAAAAATGCTGGTGAAAGGACTAAAATCAATCGGTATGTGGGTCAATTCCCGTTACGTTCTGTTCTGCCTTAACGTGTCCCCTCTCATAGGAGCTGCGTGTTGACTCAGGCGTGTATGGGTCACCTCTGACCTGGAGCGTGCCACGCTTGCCGCAGGCGCCGGCCGCGCCGGCCTCGCCGCCCCAGAAGCGGCTGCACGTGAAGCAGCGGCTGGCGATCCAGGCGCGGCTGGGTGTGCTGCGCACCACGCCCGCAGGTGGCGCCCTGGTTGGCCGGCTCGGACGCGGCCGCGCGCCCCAGGCCAAGAGGCTACAGACGGCGGCGCGCGCACGTGAGTATGCCGTCGGCCGACAACTACCCCATGAGCGCCTGGAAAAGTATCTTGTTACTCATTCTCAGGAAAGTGTAATATGTCCGGTAATGGTTGTCTCCCGTATGCATGCCGCCTGCCATGGTGGCGAAGTGCGGGTGTCTTCTCGACCCTCGAAGCTATCTTCTGTTCGGTCACCGCTGCGTTGTTATGCTTGCTTCATCCCACGGGTCATGTATCAGGGCTATTCCACGCCATAGTTGAGCGGATTGCATCGGGCTGGCGGTCAGTCGCTTCTGCCGCGTGTTGGCTCACCGCTGGCGCTGGCAGGGTCGCTAACGGGCCTGCCAGGCGGAGCCTCCTCTAGCTCTGATTACGCTCCGGACTCTGACGTCACGTGACCTTGTTGCAGCGGCCGGCGTCGCGCCGAGCCGGCGGGGGTCGGCACCCGTCACCAAAGGCGGCCGCGGCCGCAGTGGCGCCACACAGACCGGCTCCAGAGGCCGGTAGGTGACGCCGGTGTCGGCCGGTGCGGTCCACAATCTGAGGTCCGGCGGCGCCGCTGGGCAGGCGGGTGGTTCACAGGCTGTGTTGGAATTTTTGGATGGGCATAGGTGTATTATTTAGTCCCAGACAGGTTGGTCTACTGCATACTCTGAGGCCTTCATTTGTGAGCGTCGCCGTTGTGCTCTGTACTCGGCAGTCTGGTTTTAGAAACGAGACCTTTGTTGTCCGGGTATGGAAACGAGGCTTTTGTTGTCCGGGTGTGGAAACGAGATTTTCGTGGTCTGGTTGTGAAAACGAGACCATTGTGGTCCGGGTGTGGAAACAAGACCATCGTGGTCCGGGTGTGGAAACGAGACCATTGTGGTCGGGTTGTGGGGTGGCGATTGGTGCCGTGGTTGTGTGTATGCAGGACATCTGTGATTGGCGCTGAAGGACACCACGTCTGTGGTATGGTCGTAGTGGCTGGGAGGGTGACCAGTATGCTGTGTACTCTGCGGTCCAGTGTCGGCCCACGAATTGTACTTTTTGCACTCGTTGACCCGCCCATAGGACGGTGTTCGCTGTGCTGTCTTAGTCCTGATGTAGAATTGTTGGAGCATGACCCCTGCTGCGTGCCGTGTGCCCCGGCTGTGGGGCAGTGCTATCTGTACTCTGGTCATGGGAGATTGGCCGGTCCACTTTGCGCTCTCTGTTGTGGCTATGGGACAGCGACCGGTCTGCGGTGTGCCACGTGGTGGGGCCGTGGGGGGAGGGTCGCCTGACCTGACATGACCCATGCTGCCCCGTGCTGCAGAGGGACGCCGTCGGCGTCGCGCGGCCGTGGACAAGGCTCGGCGGCGCGAGGCCGGGGGCGGGGTGCCGGCCGTGGCCGCCCCACCGCCCCCGTCAGCAAGGAGGCTCTCGACAAACAGCTGGATGCTTACATGTCCGGCACCAAAGGCCAGCTGGACGCCGAGCTGGATGCTTACATGAAGGAGGCAGACGTCTGAGCGGACGGGCCGGCGCAGTCGAACCGCTGCTAAGCCGCGAGCCGCCGACGTGACCCCGATCCCGTCCCTGATCCTGATCCTGATCGCGACCCCGTCCCCGTCCCCGGCCCCGGCACCGGCCTCGACCCTGACCCCGGGCCGGGCCAGGCCCCCTCAGGACGGCCGGAGTAGGCCGGCCACGCCCGATGCACCCCCGCTCGTCCGTCCCCCTCTCTCATACGCACCGCGCGCGGTGCTGTGGCGCGCCCGCCGCTGCTGTACATACATGGTTGCCACGGTGAAATGTACTTCTTCGTTCGTACTGGGGTTTTGCGGCTGAGGAAATGGAAGATGGGATAGACTGCGAGCGTTTGCCGGAAAGCAGAGGTGGCAAACAACAATGTAGACGTGGTTGGGGGCAAGCAGCCGGTTTGCATTGATTGACGCGATGCCATATGCTGTGCTCTCCCGCTCCGGACGCGACGCGAGGCCGCACGTGAGCGCCGGTCGGACCGACGATGCCCCCACGGAGCCAGCCAAGTGCCGCTCCTACACAGCATCAGAATGTGATCAGAGTGGGTCTGTCCATCACACCCTGGCATGGCCAATTCTGAAGTTGAGGTGGTCGATAGGAGATATGTTCGCAGATCGCAGACCATGGGCAGTTAATCGGCTGTGGAATTTCCGAGGCCCTGTAGCTGGATCTGGCCGCGCGGTGCTGCCCTTCCTGCGTGGCGCCACGTGCTGAAATAGATGGCGGCACCATGGGACTGGAGTATGTGAACTGTCTGGCAAAAGAAAATGTGTGACCCGGTCTTGTCTGATCATTTGTAGAAAGGGTTGGGAGGAGTTCGGCGAGTATTTTTGTTTCAAGTTGCAGCGTATGCCGAGTGGCGCGGACACCGTGTCCGTATGCGGAGTAGCGCGGACGCCGTGTCCGTGTGCGGAGTAGCGCGGACGCCGTGTCCGTGTGCGGAGTAGCGCGGGCGCCGCGTTCGTGTACCGAGCGCGGGCTGGCGCCACGGAACCGGAAATGGGCGCCGCTGCGGCCCCGCCGGCGTGCGTGAACTGCAGTACTTCCTGCGAGCGGGAACAGCGGCCACATCTCGAGAATGTGCCGCAGCCCCGCCGTCACAGCTCGAGAATGTGTCACGGGCCCCGCCGTCACATCTCGAGAATGAACTGTAGCCCCCGCCGTCACATCTCTAGAATGTGCCGCAGCCCTCGCCGTCACATCTCGAGAATGTATCGCAGCCCCGCCGTCACATCTCGAGAATGTATCGCAGCTCTCGCCGTCACATCTCGAGAATGTATCGCAGATCCCGCCGTCACATCTCGAGAATGTGTCACGGGCCCCGCCGTCACATCTCGAGAATGAACTGTAGCCCCCGCCGTCACATCTCGAAAATGAACCGCAGCCCCCGCCGTCACTTCTCGAGAATGTATCGCAGCCCCGCCGTCACATCTCGAGAATGAGCCGCAGCCCCCGCCGTCACATCTCGAGAATGTATCGCAGCCCCGCCGTCACATCTCGAGAATGTATCGCAGCCCCGCCGTCACATCTCGAGAATGAACCGCAGTCCCCCGCCGTCACATTTCGAGAATGAACCGCAGCCCCCGCCGCCACATCTCGAAAATGTGCCGCAGCCTCCGCCGCGGGAGACCACGCCGCCATCACCAGCCGGCAGCCTCCGCCGTTATCCTAGCAACAGTCTCACTGGATCGGCGCCGACCGTGGTAGTGCGCGTGACCAGGAGGGGGAGGGGGGGGGGGGGGGCAGCATGCTGGCACTGCCGGACACCGGGGCCGACGTATCCGTTGCTGGCCTGGACTTGGACTGGACTTGGACCGGCCCACATGAGTGGGGAGCTCGACGACAATCTACAGCCGCCGTCGATCCATCCCCGCGTCACCGACGTACGCGACCCGGTCAGGCGGCAGCCTGCCCGTCACCATCCGACGCGGTGACGCCACGGTCTCCGACACCGTGCACATCCTGGGAGCGCTCCGTCTCTTACTCCCCTGGAGAACGGCCAGGAACCCCCGAGGAGTAACGGACACGTACCTCAAGCAAATGCGCGCGATCGCTTAAAACCCGGGTATTTCAGCGGCGCCGCCGCGGGATTCGTCCGCGTGCGGCCTCAGTCGTCGGCTAGCGCCCAGCCACGGCGTCGCGGCGCAGTCGTTCGGCGCGGCCCCGTCCGGCCGTCGGCAGTCGCCGGTCGACGTGTGCGGCGAGGGCACGGGCCGTCGGCTGCGGTCAAGGTCGACACCGCAGCCGACCGGGAAGCCGTCGGTCGCATCGGCGGCACCCGCACTGGCGCCACTTGGGCCGGCCGCCGGGTCGCACAGGGCCTATATGTCGGTCAGGCACTACCCGTGCCGGTATGGGCCCGAGGGCCCACTTTCCAAGCAGCTACAAAACCGGGTCCGGCAGTTTACCCTGGTCGGGGTCCCTGTATCTGAGGGCACATGCATAACATGGAGTCCGGTGTTCGCAAGGGGCCCCGAGCCGACTTCGGGGAGTGTCCAATGAGGTCCGCAGGGGGCCCGGGAGGCCCACCGGAACCGGCGATTAAGGACCCGGTTGGAGGGCATAAGAACCCGAGGGGCTGGCTGTATGGCACAAAGAATTCCGGTCCGTAGGGTCGTGGCCTGAAGTATCAGTCATATGGCCTCGTGCACCGTTTGGGGACCCCCTGAGACGATGCGGGTGCCTGAGTCGGCCAGAGACCACCGACACCGAACAGCTCCCTGACGTCTGACCACTGGATGCCCATTTTCCAAGAAGGAGCAAGGCCGGTAGTCACAATTTGCATTGGTCTGAGCCCCTGAAACAATGGTTGGAACCCTATGCCGGTCAGGAGTCCACAGTGCATAATAGGGGGCCGTGTGTCGGCTAGTGGTTGCGAGTCTACCATGGGCCTTGAGGAGGTCCGAAGAGGGGCCGGAGGCTCCTCGGGACTAGAGATCAGGGGCCTGATTGGAAGGCTGAAGGGCCCGAAGGGCTGGTCGTAGGTCATATTAGGACGCACACGCGGGTAAGACCGATAAGAGCCAATAGGAGGGTCCTTTGGGGAGCTGGGGAACCGTGTGACAGTGCAGGTCTCTATTTCGAACAAAGGCCTTCAACGCCGAAGAGCCGGCTGCGTGTCAGTCTAGATTTAGAGGATTCATTTCCCAAGCACGAGCAACGCTACCGCCTGGCCCTGCGATTTGCATTAGTCGGGGCTCCTGCAACAATGCCAGGCTCTTTTATCGGCCAGGGGCCCACAGTGCCTAACATGGCGCCTTGTGCCAACGAGGGGCTTCGAATACGTCAGGGGAATATTTGGAGCATTCATTGACGTCTCTTGTCACTGAACGGAGACGAGGACGGGGACGCTAATTACAGAGAGCCTCTTGCGTAGGTCGGGCCCTCCGATAACGGAAGGAAATATGACGACCTACGATGAGTGTTCACATTGAAAATACGAAAGGTTTTTGGTTCTTGACCGTCGGATTCGGTCGGCCCCGGGCCTCTCTTCGGGTCTCATTGAACACTGCTTTTGGTCGACTCGGGACCTCTTGCCAACACAGGATCGCCGTTTAGGTACCGTGGACCCCTGACAGATACATTGACCACGACCAACGTAAATCGCTGACCTGACTTGGTCGCTGTTTTGGCAGTGGGTCCTCAGGCCCATACCGACACGGAGTCGACTGTGTAGTACTGGTAGTACCTAACCAGCAAATAGGCCTTGCCGACTCAGGGGTCCCCGAATGGCGCAAGGCCCCCTGACTCTCATCTGAGAGCCTGCCCCCGAAGGTCGGGCCCCCTAAAGAAGACCCCGTCCAGCCCCTGGTGCCCTCAGACACGGCTCCAATCAGGTCCTTGATCGTCGGCCCTGGTGGGCCCTCCGGGACCCTGAACTCAAGGTGGGTGGGGGGGGGGGGGGCTCGTACCCCATTGGCCCATTCTTTCCAAAATGCAAACCGCCAACCAGGAGCCAGGGCGTCAGTGGTTCTTTCTGTGGGCAGCGCATTACAGGGACAGATCCCTCCAACTTCGAGCATCACCAAATATTAGCTGTATGACGATGCATTGAAAGGAACGAGGTACAAATCACGTCGCCTTTCCTTTCACAAATTTTCCACCGTCATGCTTCTTTCCGAGACAAAGATTGCACCACACCCACAATACACCGCATAATGTATAACAAACAGCCCTCGTCATGTAAAAATGATTGATGATTCAAGTTATCATTATCTTCGACGTTTTTTTTGAAACACAAAATGCATTTACTATTGATCCGCCAAGCCTATTGCCTCTGCCATAGGCTCGGCCCACAATGTCCGTGAAATTAGCGATTCATTCAGCGATTTTTTTCAGCGACGAATTCCAGTTTCCCTGAAAAACGGCTTCAAGGTCAATTTTGGCATGAGAACACCAAAAATATCCCTTATTTGCAATGTCATGCGATCTTCGAGGTCAAAAACTGGGTCAAAGGACGAGGAACTTCATATCACCCAAAAATTACCGGCCGATTTTCAACTTGCAAATGTCAGAATATTCACCACAAAAAGAACTAGCGTCTTTTAAAAGCTCTGACCTCTCAAGGTCACCCTTCAAGGTCAAACGCCGGCCCAAGGGACGGGGAACTCGATATCATCCAAAAATTACCGGCCGAGCTTTACCTTGCAAATGTCAGAATATCTACCATAGAAGGAACTAGCGTCGGTCAAAAACTTCTGACCTCCCAAGGTCACCCTTCAAGGTCAAACGCCGGCTCAAAGGACGGGAACTCCATATCACATAAAAATTACCGGCCGATTTTAAACTTAAAGACACCGAAATAATAACCAGAGAAAGATAATTCAAAAAGTCCTGACCTCTAAAGGTCACCCTTCAGGGTCAAACGCGACCTAAAGGGACGGGGAACTCCACATTGCTCAAAAACTTCCGCTCGATTTTTGACTTACAAAGGTCAGAATATTCATCACAGAAAGAACTAGCGTCCGTCAAAAAGTCCTGGCCTCTCAAGATCGCCCTTCAAGGTCAAACGCGGGCTAAAAGAACGGGGAACTCGATATCACCCAAAAATTACTGGCCGCTTTTTAACTTACCAAGATCAAAACATTAAACACAGAAAGAGCTAGCGTCCGTCAAAAAGTCCTGGCCTCTCAAGGTCACCCTTCAAGGTCAAACGCGGGCTTAAAGAACATGAAACTCTATATTACCCAAAAATTACCGGCCGATTTCAACTTAACGACATCAAAAGAATCAACACAGAAAGAGCTGACGTCCGTCAAAAAGGACTGACATCTCAAGGCCACCCTTCAAGGTCAAACGCGGGCTCTAAAGAGAATGAACTTCATATCACCCAAAAGTTACCAACCGATTGTAAACATACAAACATCAGAATATTTCCTACAGAAAAACAGCGTCCGTCCAAAAATCCTCACCTCTCAATGTCACGCTTCAAGGTCAAACGCTGGCTCAAAGGACAAGGAACTACAAATCACCAAAAAATTCCCGACTGATTTTTAACTTGCAAACATAAGAATATTCACCACCGAAAGAACTAGCGTCCATCAAAAGTCCTGACCTCTCAAGGTCACTCTTCATGGTCAAAAGCGGGCTCAAATGAGGGGAACTTCATATTACCCAGAAGTTTCCGGCCGATTTTAAAATGACAAACATCAGAATCTTAAACACAGAAAGAGTCCGTCAACAAGTCCTACCTCTCAAGGTCACCCTTCAAGGTCAAACGCAGGCTCAAAAGACGGGGAACTCCATATCACCAAACGATTACGGGCCGATTTTTAAATTACAGAAA